TGAGATGCTTTTTCATAAAATCCATTCCATATGTTTTATGTGGTTATTTCATTTTAAAAAACACAGTATCTTAATTTTATTTACCAAGTCTGACAAACTGTATATAAACCAGAGCATTTATTTCATTTTCATTTAACTTACTAACAAATTATTGTTTGATCCTACCTCTTTCTATTTGGGCAGCTTATCCTGTTTCTTTATAGTCTACTTTTTAGCCTTCTTTTGGGTTTGTGGTAATGTTTGGTTTTTAATCATTCTATTTTTGCTCTTTATTTTTGTCTTTGACTAGTTTGGAAGATATACACCCTGTTCTTAGTCTCTTAGTGATTTCTTTCTTTTTTTCTTTTCATTTATTATTTTCCCTTAATGATGACTCTAAGTGTGCGTCCTTAACCATAGGGTGCATTCTTAACACTCAATAACTTTATACTTTTTTAGGAAAATAGCACTTTAGAATGCTTTAATACAGGATACTTCTTGCAGTTTACATGCTGCCCTTGTCACATAGTCTGTGTAATTTTTAAAACATGATAGGATTATTTTTGCCTAGCATCTTCGTTGAAGTTTACTACACTTTGACTCTAATTACCTCACAGTGACAGTAAATTAACATGAAGATAGCGTGAATTCACTTTTATTAATATGTATTTTAATTAATATTGTCATTATTAGTTGCTGTGCTGCCTTACCAAAAGATTACATAGCCCTTTCTTAAAGGCTTGGCCGTGTGACTTTTTCAAGAAACGAATTGTGGGGGGAAGTAGAATGTATCACTGTCAGTCTTTAAGAGCCTGCAAATTGTTTGCCCCGTTCTTTCCTTTGCACTAAGACAAACAGGATTTCAGATGAACACTACTCCTTCAGTCTGGGCTGTGAGGAAGACGTGGAGCCAACCTGTAGTCATTGTGTGGCATGACCCAAAAATACTATACTCCTGTAAACCACCACAATTGGTAGGGTATTGATAGCAAGGCATTACTAAGCCTATATTGACTGATACAGAACTGGTACCTAAAAGTGAGATACCACCACAAAAATATAAAATGAGTGCACTGGGGGCACCTGGGTGGCTCAGTTAGTTGAGCAGTTTGAAGCCGAGAAGGAGGTGAACTGTTAAGAGGAGCGGAAAAGATGGAGGCCCACCTTATGTAGTGATACGACATTGTGTGAAACTGTCACCTCTGACAACTAGGGTGGCAAATGATTCTAAATCAACCTGTGGGCTTTGAGTGAAGAGGGCGGAAAACAAAATAATAGTCATTTGCCTTGATTGCCACTTTCTCCAGGTGACGAATTTCCATAAAGAGATGAGTTCAGGGGGCACCTGGGTGGCTCAGGGGGTTACAGCCTCTGCCTTTGGCTCAGGTCATGATCTCAGGGTCTTGGGATTGAGCCCCACATCGGGCTCCCTGCTCAGTGGGGAGCCTGCTTCCCCCTCTTTCTCTGCCTGCCTCTCTGCCTACTTATGATCTCTGTCAAATAAATAAAACCTTAAAAAAAAAAAAAAGAGATGAGTTCAGGGGTGCCTGGGTGGCTTAGTCATTGGGCGTCTGCCTTCGGCTCGGGTCATGATCCCAGAGTCCTGGGATCGAGCCCCACATTGGGCTCCCGGAGCTCAGTGGAGAGTCTGCTTCTCCCTCTCCCACTCCACCTGCCTGTGCTCTCTCTCTCTTGCTGTCTCTCTCTCTCTCTCTCTCTCTCTCTCTGTCAAATAAATAAATAAATAAATAAAATCTTTTTTTTTTTTTTTTAAGAGATGAGTTCAGAAAAGAATTAGCCAGTTAGGAAGAATGAAAATAAAAAATACCAGAAATTCCAGGAATTTCCAAGTGAGCAAATAACACATTAGGTCACACCTGCATCTCGTAAAAGATAAACTAAAGGCATTTTTAGTGCAACAAACTCAGTTAATGGGGTGCCTGGGTGGCTCAGGGTGTTATGCCTCTGCCTTCGGCTCAGGTCATGATCTCAGGATCCTGGGATCGAGCCCTGAATCGGGCTCTCTGCTCAGTGGGGAGCCTGCTTCCCCCTCTCTCTCTGCCTGCCTCTCTGCCTACTTGTGATCTCTGCCTGTCAAATAAATAAAATCTAAAAAAAAAAAAAAAAAAAAAACAAACTCAGTTGAAACTCCTCTGGCGGGGTGCCTGGGTGGCTCAGTGGGTTAAGCCACTGCCTTTGGCTCAGGTCATGATCCTGGAGTCCTGGGATCGAGCCCCGCCTCGGGCTCCCAGCTCTGCGAGGAGTCTGCTTCTCCCTCTGACCTTCTTCCTTTTCATGCTCTCTCTCTCCCAAGTAAATAGGTAAAATCTTTTAAGAAACAACAACAACAACAAAACTCCTCTGGCAATTTCAGATTAAGGTCCCTCATAAACATAGATGTGCTCACTTACTGTTTGAGTTAGCTTGTTGGTAGTACAAGACATTCATTCCCTCATGTAGCTGCTGTCACAGCGGCAAGCGCCATTGGTACAGGATGCGGGGTGTGTCTCAGAAAGGCGTAAATGCTGACTGTTCCTCCTCGATCTCCACTGTAGAGGCTGGATGAGTGTGAACACCTGCCTGAGTAAGTGTATTGGACCTGAAACTGGGATTATCTCTATAGGTTTACATCCAAATTACTAGGTGTTAGGAATTTTCTCTCTCCCTTCCTCCAAAAAGTGTATATTGACCTAACCTCCAGTACCTCAGAATATGGCTGTATTTGGAAACAGAGTGTTTGCAGATGGAGTTAGTTTAAGATGAAGTCCTACAGGTGTAGAGTGTGCCTGTACTCCAGTGAGTGGTGTACTTAGAAAGGGGGCATGTGAAGACACAGGCACGTGGGGGAAAAGTCATTGTCATGGAGACTGGAGGTATGCAGCTGCAAGCTAAGGAAGGAGTGACAGAAATTGCCAGCAAATCACCAGAAGCTAGAAAGAGACAGGAAGGGATTCCCCAACAAGTTGGTTGGTTGGTTTTTTGTTTTTTTTGTTGTCTTTTTTTTTAAGATTTTATTTATTTATTTGACAGAGACACAGTGAGAGAGGGAACACAAGCAGGGGGAGCGGGAGAGGGAGAAGGAGGCTTCCCACTGAGCAGGGAGCCCGACGCAGGGCTCCATCCCAGGACCCTGGGATCATGACCTGAGCCAAAGGCAGACGCTTAACGACTGAGCCAGCCAGGCGCCCCTCCCCAACAGGTTTTAGAGGGAGTATGGCCCCGATGACACCTTGATTTTAGACTAGCCTCCAGATCAGAGACAATAAATTTCTGTTGTATTGAGCCACTCAGTTTATACTAGTTTGTTATGGCAGCGGCCAGAAGCTGATAAACTAGGCCACATGAGAGAAAGCAGTGGGTAGCACATCTGACCATAGATAGGTCTAAGCCACATTCCGCATTTGAGCAATACCACCACCAAAGGTTTTCATTTCTTTGCAAATAGCAGCTGCTTCCAGTTTCTCAGAACTCAGGGACGGAAGACTTGTGATTACTCATCACTCTTAAATCTCAGTATGTTTTAGAGATTTTTAAGTAAGCTCTATACCCAGCGTGGGACTCACACTCACAACCCCAAGACCAAGAGTCACATGCTCACAGCACCTGGGCGTCTCAATTGGTTAAGCATCTGCCTTCAGCTCAGGTCATAATCCACGAGTCCTGGAATTGACCCCCATATTGGGCTCCCTGCTTAGTGGGGAGCCTGCTTCTCCTCTCTCTCTGCTCCTCCCCCCTGCTCATGCTCTCTCAAATAAATAAAATCTTTTTCAAAAGTCACATATTCCAGGGGCGCCTGGGTGGCTCAGTGGGTTAAGCCTCTGCCTTTGGCTCAGGTCATGATCTCAGGGTCCTGGGATGGAGTCCCTCATGGGGCTCTCTGCTCAGCAGGGAGCCTGCTTCCCCCTCTCTCTGCCTACTTGTGATCTGTCAATAAATAAAATCTTTTTTAAAAAAAAGTCACATATTCCACTGACTGAGCCAGCCAGGCACCCCAAATCTCACTATTTTTAATGGATTTATTTTTTTCTGAGTGACAACCGGAAGGTAATTTGTTTAAAAAAATTTATTATTCCAAAGGGCTAAAACTATTACCAGATCCACTTATGTATACCAGCAAAGAGTTTTTTAAAAAAGTCTTAATCTTAGGTCTAATTACTTCCCTTGCAATTTATATGATACAAAAAAATTTACAATGTTGGCATTTCTTGATGGATACTACATATTACAAACAAACAAGAACTTTGTGGTATACAACTTCCTTTCATGATCTTATTAAACATGAAATTACTATATACATGTACTACAAAAACAGACGTAAAGCAAAGCTAATACATTCATCTTGGATCATTCTTAATTTAGTGCTTTGACTATCCAATATATTCAAACATGAGGCAAAGTGTCCTTTGGCATGCCAAAGTTATTTGCTTTTCCTGACTACTTCATGTATTTTCCTTAAATAAACGGCAATGTGACAGGAATGAAATTTTTGTTCTAAAGGTTATATGTAAGCAACCTTTCCTAGCACCATTATACCACACTAATTCTTAATAAGTGTAATCTGATGCACATTAAGTTTAGACTTCATGCCAGAGGCATTCCCCATCACAAGTCTTCAGTGTCTATTTTCTTTGGTATGAAAGCTCATTTGTTTGCAAAATATTCCAGGATCTGCAACATTCATGAGGTCTTTTTTTTACTCTATCAGAGGATGACCCATCAAAAACATTTGTTGCACTCAGGTTTCATTTCTGTGTTATGTATAATGGGAGGACAGGTGGGAACCTGTCAAGAAAAGATTTTGACTTTTCACCTCATTCATATGCCTTTCCTCAATGAAATGAGGCTACACTGGTGGTAGGTAATTTTCTTATATTCACTGCATTTAAAGATCTCCTGCGTAAGTTCTCTTAAACTGACACTGACCAAATGTATCCTAACTTTCATTCATAGGGTGTGTCTTGAATGATTTCTCTTGTATTCAGTGAGATCTGACATCTCACTAAAGTCTTTCCAGTGGTCACCATGCTCCTGAGATTTCTTTCCAGTATGAATTTCCTCATGTGAAGTGAGAAAGAACTTGACAGAGAACGTTTTCCCACACTCATTACACTGATAAGGTTTCTGTCCTGTGTGACTTCTCTGATGGACACTGAGATATGATTTCTCAAAAAAGGCTTTTCCACACTGAATGCACTGATACGGTTTCTCTCCCGTGTGGCGTCTCTGATGCCTAATGAGCTGGGACTTCTGGTTGAAGATCTGACCACACGGAACACATCCATAGGGTTTCTCTCCAGTATGGCACCGCTGATGGATAATAAGATGGCTTTTTTGGCGGAAAGCTTTTCCACATTCCTTGCATCCATGGGGTTTCTCTCCTGTATGAATCAACTGATGTCTACTAAGCATGGCCATACTGCTAAAGGCTTTTTGGCATTCGGGACACACAAAAGGTTTCTCTCCTGTGTGTGTTCTCTGATGGACAATGAGCATTGCCTTTCGTATGAAAGCTTTTCCACATTCACTGCATTCATAGGGTTTCTCTCCCGTATGAGTTCGCTGATGGACAATGAGATGTGACTTGTCTATAAAAGCTTTTCCACATTCACTGCATTCGTAAGGCTTCTCTCCTGTATGAATTCTCTGATGTGTTATGAGGGATGACTTTTTATTAAAGGCCTTCCCACATTCCTTGCATTCGTAAGGCTTCTCTCCTGTGTGAGTTCTTCGATGAACAATAAGCTGTGAATTGTCTATAAAAGCTTTTCCACACTCGCTGCATTCATAAGGCTTCTCTCCCGTATGGATTCGCTGATGTGTTATGAAGTGTGACTTTTTATTGAAGGCTTTCCCACATTCCTTGCATTCGTAAGGTTTTCTTCCTGTATGATTTCTCTGATGTACAATAAGCTGTGATGTGTGTACAAAAGCTTTTCCACACTCACTGCATTCATAAGGTTTCTCTCCTCTATGAATTCTCTGATGTGTCAGGAGATGCGAGTTTTTACTGAAGGCTTTCCCGCATTCCTTGCATTCGTACGATTTTTCTCCTGTATGAGTTCGCTGGTGAACAGCAAGCTGAGACTTACTACAGAAGGTCTTCTCACATTCTCTACATCCATAGGGTCTATCTCCTGTATGAGTTCTTTGGTGGATCATCAGGTTTGACTTCTGCATAAAACCTTTCCCACAATCAGTACACTCAAAAGGTTTCTCTCCTGTATGCGTTCTGTAATGCAATCTGAGCTTTGTCTTCTCCCTGTAAGCTTTTCCACACTCTTTGCACTCATAGGGTTTCTCTCCTGTATGAGTCCTGTGGTGGAGAATGAGATGATACTTTGTTCTGAAAGAATTTCTGACATTCAGGGCATCTGTACGGCTTCTCTCCTGTATGAGTTCTCTGGTGTAGAGTGAGATGACATTTTGTACTGAAAGCTTTCTGACATTCAGGGCATCTGTACGGCTTCTCTCCTGTATGAGTTCTCTGGTGTATTATGAGCTTTGACTTATACCTGAAGGATTTTGGACACTCACTACATTCATAAGGTTTCCGTTCTACGTGAATTCTGTGATGTCTTTTAAGATTTTTTGCCATGCTGAACGTCTTCACAAAGAAATTATGTTCGCTGTACGGGGCCTGAGTATGGCAGGTTTCATGCAGAGTATGGAAAAATGGTTTCCCGTGGCTGTTTAATTCATCACAATTCATTTCTGCATAGTTTTTGCTCTGAAATTTCGAATCTGACTTTTGTTCCAGATGTATTCCTCTTGAGAAACACTGACGTGGTCTTTCTACAAAAGGAACAAAATTTTTGCTCAGAGAAAATATTTTTCCCAATGCATTATTTTCATTATTTCCCTCCACAGATTCATCTTTCTCAATATTTTCCTGATACCGACCCTAAACTTGCCACATTACTTCTAGGGGGAAAAAAAAATCAGTGAATCCTACCATTATGAAATGGAGGGGAATGGAATCTCAAGTCAATATCCAAAGAGAACGGAGAAAGTGACCGAGCAGGTGCACAATATAAGTCAAAGGTATTCAATAAAAGAAATAGATAATAAATAATGAACTAAAGACGTGATGTCCTCAAACTCTGGAGGCAATCTATGAATATCTGAAAGCCTAACAGAAGAGCGATGCAAATATGGATAAGATGTGGGGAAGGCAGTTTGTATCTAACGAGCTGCAAAAAAACAACTAAGCCAAAAGGGAAAGACCAAATGAAATAGGCCAAGATCTGACCCAGAGTAGTAAAAGGAGGTACATCTTCTGCTAGGTGGCTAGCCAATGAGTCATATATGGTAAGAGAAGGGAACACCATTCACACTGATGACCTCTTTTCACTTGCTCTAAGTCAACTCTTAAGATTCAGAGACTATGAGCAAAAATGTTAAAATAACAAGGGTCCCAACACACCAATGATCAACTGTGACTTGGCTCCCACTCACTCCCACTGCACTGCTGTACTCACCGGGACCAGACGGACTTGGGAATTCTCTCTCTAGCACTCCTTGTTCTTTCTCCAAGTGGACCATTGCTTCTGGTCTAGTAACTTGATAACCTGTCAAGAAGTAATCCCCCAGAGAACTGAGCAGTATTAGGGCCTATGATGAAAAATTCTGTTTTAGGGAATAGAGAGTAAATCTCAGCAAAACAGAAGCTTTCATTCAGAAAATGAACGTAAGTACCATCACTGGTCATAAAGAAAATAAGTTCCATCACCTATGTAACTCCAAAATCAATAAGGATATCAGAGTACCCATAAATTGTGTCAATGGGAAAAAAAAATTGTTATCAATGGGGGAAAAAAGCCAGGCAATTAATGGACTCATGGTGAGAAAGTTGTCTTTAGGAAAGTTGTCTTTACCCAATGACATTAGGTTGCTATAATTTTCCAACATCACATCCCGGTAGAGGTTCCTCTGAACAGTATCTAGCAGCTGCCATTCTTCCCAGGTGAAATCCACAGCCACATCACTGAATGACAACAAGCCCTGTAATAACATAATCCTCTTTAATCTGGAGTTAATATAATGGAATAAATTATAGAAGATATACAGGATATTATTCTGATTATTTTTACTATAGAAATTTAAACAGGGGTGCCTGGATGGCTCAGTTGGTTGGGCAACTGCCTTCGGCTCAGGTCATGATCCCAGAGTCCCGGGATCGGGTCCCGCATCGGACTCTCAGCTCCTCGGGGAGTCTCTTTCTCCCTCTGACCTTCTCCCCTCTCATGCTCTTTCTCTCTCTCTCTCTCAAATGGATAAATAAAATCTTTTTTTAAGAAAAGAAATTTATAAACAAGTATTTCTCTATATCTAGTTTTGATTTACACTTAGTGTGCTAATAAATCCACTGAAATAATCCTTTCTGCATTTTTTGTAAAAATTTATCTATTTATTTGAGAGAGAGAACAGGGGCAGCGGCAAAGGGAGAGAGAAGATCCCAAGCAGACTCTCTATTTAGTGCAGAGCCCAAAAGGCTTGATCTCACAACCCTGGGATCACGACCTGAGCTGAAATCAAGAGTTGGATGCTTAACTGACTGAGCCACGCAGGTGCCCTTCCTTTCTGCATTCTTCATTCACTTCTTCCCTCATTCATTCACCCAATGTAAAATGTTGTTAAGACTTTACCTAAAAAGCATCTACAACCCACCTTAGGAGCATTTAATGTTATTTTTGTTTTTTTAAGATTTTATTTATTTATTTGAGAGAGAGAGCGTGAGCTATGGGAGGGGTAGAGGGAGAAGCAGACTCCCCGCTGAGCAGGCAGCCCCGACTTGGGTCTCGATCCCAGGACCCCAAGATCGTGACCTGAGTCGAAGTCAGCCGCTTAACCAGCTGAGCCACCCAGGTGCCCCAGGAGCATTTAATGTTACCCACTATACACTGCAGTAAAAAAGGAAATAAAGCACAATCCTGACACCCTGTGGAGTGGCAAGTACACTCCTTTACAGAGTTCATATACGGCAAGACGGTCTGGTTTAACAAGGCTTACAACAGAAGTTCACTCAAGTTAAAACGGGGGGCACAAGTAGGTGAAGAACGAACAGTTCTGAGGAAGAGGTCAAGCTGAAGAGGTGCATGGTTCCTGGTGTGCTCCATGGTAAGACTGGGAAGACACGGGAGCTGTGACTCTTCCAGAGGAAGCATGTGTTAAAAGTGTTAAATACCATGCTGGGTTCCAGGAACTGCAAAAAGTTCAATGAGACAGAAGAAACCAAAGAGAACCGATGCCCGGGGTACAAGCAGCAACAGACCAGAGCAAGCGGACACATTTCCTGCAGACACTTGGTAGACACTGCAGTGTTTTTCTTTTTCCTTCTTTCTTTCTTTTTTTTTTTTTTTTTAAGATTTTATTTATTTATTTGACAGAGATCACAGTATGCAGGGGGCGGGGGGAGGAGGGAAGCAGGTTCCCCGCTGAGCAGACAGCCCGATGCGGGGCTCGATCCCAGGGCCCTGAGATCATGACCTGAGCCGGAGGCAGAGGCTTAACCCACTGAGCCCCCCAGGCGCCCCTGCAGTGTTTTTCATAAAGTATGTTATGCTCAGAACTGCCTTTTAGAAGTTAACTTTGCTATGTATTAAATCATGGTACTCACAAAAGCAAAAACAGAACTAACTCTTACTGTGTGCTGCATATTGTTAGAAATATGTTATGAACATGTTACATATGTTCACGCAATGACGTACACCGTGACCCTCGGGTAAAAATTAATCTTATTTTCTCTTTGTAGATAAGAAGAGATTTTTAAAAAGTTTTCTAGCTATGCCTTTTGAATCTCCCGCATTTCCTTGGGAAGATGACCATTTACTGGGTCCACAGTCTGGAGAAAAACTGAAGAGGAAGACCCATCAAATGCACTTCTTCATCTTTAATCTCTGGGAAACACGTACTCAGAAAGTTCATGTGCTTCCTGCTTATATACAAAGTAAATCTTAAATATGTTTTTGTTCTTCTGTGGTTTCCAATATTACCACAAAAATGTCTGCAACTCTGCTCTGGATCCTGCCACTTCTGTGGAAATGTTACAGTTGTTCGCACCTTGCAACACGTGACATACAGATAAGATAGAACTCCCTCCCTGATTGGCTACTCCAGGTCATTATTCTGTCTCCCAGTCTAAGCACATCTCTGCCAGCTGCAAGAGATCTATATACATCATTCCCTTTGATTGTATACATTTTTTAAATTGTTCACTGTAGTTTTCACACGATGTTACATTAGTTTCCGGTGTTACAAAATAGTGATTCAACAAGTCTATGGTTATGCTATGCTTACCACAAGTGCAGCTACCATCTGTCACAGAGACACTATTACAATATCATTGATTATACTTCCTATGCTGTATTTTTTATTCCCATGAATTATTTATTCCGTAATTGGAAGCCTGTATCTTCCCTCCCCTTCACCCATTTTGCCTATCCCTCTCCCCCCTACCTTACCAACTCTGGCAACCATCAGATTGTATACATTTTTACAAACTTCTAGAAATCTGGGAAATAAACAACTAACCTGGGACTTGGTCATTTTCAGTATTCAGGTGTCTCATCAAAGGTATCCTCGGCAAGAATGAGTTTCTAGACTTGAGATCTACGTTTCTTCCTTTATAGGAAGTGCATCATTCTAGGAAGCCGGCATCTATGGATTCAAGGAAAGATTTGTTTGGCGTGGAAATTATAATAAAAGCAGGTTCCCATACATGCAAAGAATTGTTTCAGGCATCTTCTTTTCTCACTTAACCCTCACAATCCTAGGCGGTAGACTATAATTATTCTATTTTAGAGAAAACCAAGAAAGGAAAGGTCAAGCACCTAGCTAAAAGCCACACAGTAACTCTTGGACCAAGGATTAAAACACAAACCCTCAGAACTGATAGAACCTCTGATTCCAGCGAAAATTACCAAATTATGAATTATCCTTTCATCTTAACCAATTAAAAAAAAAAATGGAAACGTGTCTAAAACAACTGTTTTCTCACCCAGAAGTCAGAGAAGGGAAACAAGGCTAGAGACCCTTGGGCACCACAGCTCACTACCTGGAGACTTTCTAGGCCACAGGATGGGGAGAAGGAACCCGAAGAGTCTAGCAGCGCTGCTGAGTTAATGATACAGAATTCAAAATCTGAGGAAGGAAAGATGACTAACACTTGCCAGGCAGTATACCAGTGAAGAGAGGGAAAACTCACTCTACAGAGGATGAGGGTTCCTTTGAGTCTCCGGCTCAGCACTAATGAACTGTGAGGGAACTACCAAGGCCACTGGGAAGAAGCAGGTTAAACAATTCCTGGTGCTTACACAAGAGCAGGAATAGCGGCATTCCCACTAGCCTGGGTGGAAAGACCTTCTGATATGCCCGGTCTTACACTATGCAGAGGTCTCAGGAGAGTATCACCTCAGAAATGGGGACAAAACAATCCTAGACAAAAGACTCTTTTGGCACCACCTAACAGAGCTTAAAAGAAAGCCTCCAAAGAATCTGTTTCAAAGTAACGTGGTTACATCCCAGAACCAACCTCAAAAGTAGTAAAAGGAATAAAAGGAAATCCCGCAGGCAGCCAGGTGAAACTGACAATATCTGACATCCAATCAAAAATTACCAGACAAACAGAGAACCAAGGAAATATGACCCATAGCTGGGGAAAAAAAAACAAGGAAGAGAAACAGACAAAAATGGCCAAAGGGAGAGACCTGGTGGACCAGTACACCAAAAATGCTATTATATATACTTCATATATTCAACAAGTTAGAGGCAAGCACGAGCATGAAAAAAATAACAAAATGTTTAACAAATGCTACTGAAACAATAGGATATTCGTGTTTACCCCATGCCAAAATTAACCAGTAAAGATTTAAGAAGTGAATCTGTTGGGATGCCTGGTGGGCTCAGTCAGTAGAGAACATGATTGTTGATTTTGGCGTTGTGAGTTCAAGCCCCATGCTGGGTGCAGAGATCACTTAAAAAAAGAAATAGTGAAACTTCTAGAAGAAAGCACAGAAAAACTTTAAGTGACCTTGGATTAGGCAAAGATTTCTTGAACAGGGCACAAAACATACAGTAGAAGAAAAAAACTGATAAAGTAGACATCTCAGGACCAAAAATTTTAATATTCAAAAGACACTTGTAAAATGGATCAAGGGGTGCCTGGGTGGCTCAGTGGGTTAAAGCCTCTGCCTTCGGCTCAGGTCATGATCTCAGGGTCCTGGGATGGAGCCTCACATCAGGCTCTCTGCTCAGCGGAGAGCCTGCTTCCTCTCTCTCTCTGCCTGCCTCTCCTCCTACTTGTGATCTCTGTCAAATAAATAAATAAAATCTTAAAAAAACAAAGAAGGATCAAGCTAGAGGCTAGAGTAAAATATTAACAAAATGCATACCTGACTAAAAGACTTCTATCTAAAAAATACAAAGAACTTTTACAACTTCACAAAAGAGACAATCTAGTAAAAAAGAAACAAAATATTTAAACAGACACTTACCCCCCAAAAAAGTAGAGAGACGTCTAATGAACACACAAAAGGCTGCAAATTAAAACCTAAATAAAAGCAAATTAAAACTTAAATAAAATATTCCTACAAACCTGTTACAATGGCGATAATTTTATTTATTTATCTATCTATCTACCTATCAATCAGCTCTAGGCCCAATTTGGGACTCGAACTCACAACCCTAAGATCAGGAGTCATGTGCTCTACCAACTGAGCCAGCCATGTTCTCCAGAATGGCTATAATTTAAAAGACTGAAAATACTAAGTACTGACTAGGATGTGAAGAAAAAGAACTCCCCTCCTCTGCTGGTAAAAATACAGTATGGTACAGCCACTTTGACTTGTACATGAATGCATACTGCAGCTTTATTGAGAATATTCAAAACCAGGGCACCTGGGTGATTCAGTCGTTAAGTGACTGCCTTCGGTTTAGGTCATGATCCCAGGGTCCTGGGATGGAGCCCACATCAGGCTCTCTGCTGGGCGGGAAGCCTGCTTCTCCCTCTCCCACTTCCCCTACTTATGTTCCCTCTCTCCCTGTGTTTCCTTCTGTCCAATAAATAAAATCTTTAAAAAATATATATCTAAAACTGACCCCCTAAATCCAAAACATTCATCAAGTGGGGAATGAACATATTGCGGCCTATCTGTGCCACCGCTTAGTACTCAGCAGCAGAGAGGAATAAACTCATGATAAATGGAAAATCATGGACGAAGATGAAAAGCATTAATTATTCTAAGCGAAAGAAGCCAAACACCAGGGACTGACAGCGTAGGCAGCTAGCTGGGTATGAGCAGGGAACAAGTGATTTCCGACTGTAAAAGGGCGGAGGCCAACCTCCAAACCCCCGAGGAAGATCCCAGAGGATATGCCTGCGCTCTTCCCCATGACTGCCCTAGAGTAACTCGGAGCCTTACTATAATACATTTACATTGTGGTTTTAACCCCCTCCCCAGAGAATGGCTGCCGTGACAGTTCTGACAAGGGCCCTATAAGGCCAAAAACTCCCAGTAGGTGGAGTCCCTTAGATGACGGGCTGTACCCTCAGTCAGACACTGCCCTACCTATGACCCATAACCTATCCAAAAAGCAAAAACAACCCTGACCCAGCTGCCACCTCTGGGCCTGCTTGCTCTCCCATCTCAAGAATGTACTTTTGCCAAAAAAAAAAAAAAAAAAAAAGAAAGAAGAAAGAAAGAAAGGAATGTACTTTTGCTTAAACTGCTATGAAACCTTTGCTCGCTTAAGAGTTTGACTCTGAATTCTTTCTTGGCGGAACTCAAGAACCAAGGCCAGGGAATGGGACTCCCGCTATATAAAGCCTAAAGAAAATACTGAGAAACCATATGCAGGGATATATAAGAAGAATACTAAGAAAGCCAAATATAGGAAGAACCCTACTATGCACAGTTGACTTTATTCCAAGGATGCAAGGATAGTGTAGTAAGAACTGTTTCATTAGCCCAGCAGATAATGAAAAGACATGTGAGAAAAAACCATGGCCACCAACAATTTAAAGATTTATTTATTTGAGAGGTGGGGGGCAGGTAGAGGAAGAGGAGGAAATCCTTGAACAGAATTCCTGCTAAATGCAGAGCCAAATATGGGGCTCAATCCCAGGATCCTGAGATCATGACCTGAGCCAAAATCAAAAGTATACAGCTCAAATGACTGAGCCACCCAGGTGCCCCACCACTGACAATTTAAAAATATATATATTACTAAACTAAAAATACACAAGCAAGAGTATCTAAAATAGTCCATGGCATTTCTTTAAACTTAGGGACAGGGATAATCTCTCTTTGAAGTCAAAAATGTACCAGATAAAAACTTGAGCAATAAATGGGAAAAATAAATTAAAAGAAAAACAAAATTGTCATTATGCAACTGCTTTAATTCAATATAAACATTAATTGCAATTTCATATTCAAACAAGATTTAAGAGGGGAGAAAAGCCAGTATTTACAAGGTACCTGGGAGAAACTGCAAGATAGAAGTCTTACTAGAGCAAAAAGAGGAGCACCAGGGTTGCTCAGTGGGATAAGTGCCCGACTCTTGATTTCGGCTCTAGTCATGCTCTCAGGGTCATGAGATGGGAACCCTAGTAAGGTTCTGTGATCAGAGGCGAGTGAGCCTCTCCCTCTCCTTCTCCCTCTGCCCTCCCCCCAACTCATCTGCTCTGACGTGTGCTCAAGTGAATAAATAAAAATTTTTTAAATAAATAATTTAAAAAACATATTATTATAGCAAAACGATATCCAGCCAATCCAATCATAACCAGTCAAATGGAGAGAGACAAACCAGAAGCTTCCATCGTCCTATCCTTTTGGAGTCAGAACACATTACTCTTTTTTTTTTTTTTTTTAAGATTTTAGTTATTTGACAGGCAGAGATCACACGCAGAGAGAGAGGAAGGGAAGCAGGCTCCCTGCTGAGCAGAGAGCCCAATGCAGGGCTTGATCCCAGGAACCTGGGACCATGACCCGAGCTGAAGGCAGAGCCCCCAACCCACTGAGCCACCCAGGTGCCTCAGGACACATTACTCATTTAACATATCTATAAGTGACAATATGTAGGGTACCGCCAACCACAGAAGTTCACCCGAGCGTCAGTGTCTACAGTTTTTATTAAGTAAGCATGACTGACCTAATCACTGGCCATGCGACTCAACCCCCAGCACCCTTACCATCTCAGAGGTTGGGCTAGTATTACCAGGCTCAAAGCCCCAACCCTCTGATCACATGGTCAGTCTTTCTGGCATACGACATAAAACAGCCCCATCCTGAGTCACCTCACTGTCCTAACTATCTACAGACCCACCACGAATAACAAAGACTCCTGTCACTCAGGAGTGACAGGTTTTAGAGGCCACTTCCTAGGAGTGGGGGACAGAGACCAGACAGACTGTTTATTACAAAATAACTAGCAAAAGATACGCATTCCAAATATGTCGGGTAAAGACAAACTTTTCAGTTTTTTTTTTTTTTTAAACTTTTCAGTTTTATTTAAAGTTGGCCCATCTATATATAAAGATGGTCAATCACTATGTTGTACACCTGAAACTAATGGAACATTGTGTATCAACTATACTAAATTAAAATAAATAAAAGAAGAAAATTGGCCAATGAACATATAAATAGATGATCAACCCTGTGAGTAATGAGAACAGTGCATATGGAGACCACAACGAGATGAGGTTTATACCCCCAAAATGGTCAAAAAGCAATAATGAAAATACTAAGTTGGAAAGCTTATGCACCAACAGGCACTTTTATACACTGCTGATGATAGAGTTCTGTACCGCGTTACAGAAGCAATTTGGTTTTTCCTTCTAGATAAAAATTCATCTACTTTGTGCCAGAAATTATACTTCTAAATATATAGCCTAGACTAGACAAATTCTCACAACAACTAAGAGACATACAAGATTTTTCAGAACTTCCCTACTTTTAACAGCCAAAACCCAGAAACAATACAAATGTCCAACAGCAGGAGAATGGATGCATGCACTACACTGTATTTATGCAATGAAATTCGTATTAATACACCAAGCCTACACGCAAGACAGATGAATCACAGACTGATACCGAATCAAGAAAACCAGGCCTGGGCGCCTGAGTGGCTCAGTGGGTTAAGGCCTCTGCCTTCGGCTCAGGTCATGATCCCAGGGTCCTGGGATCGAGCCCCGCATCGGGCTCTCTTTTCTGACATTCAGGGCATCTGTACGGCTTCTCTCCTGTATGAGTTCTCTGGTGTAGAGTGAGATGACATTTTGTACTGAAAGCTTTCTGACATTCAGGGCATCTGTACGGCTTCTCTCCTGTATGAGTTCTCTGGTGTATTATGAGCTTTGACTTATACCTGAAGGATTTTGGACACTCACTACATTCATAAGGTTTCCGTTCTACGTGAATTCTGTGATGTCTTTTAAGATTTTTTGCCATGCTGAACGTCTTCACAAAGAAATTATGTTCGCTGTACGGGGCCTGAGTATGGCAGGTTTCATGCAGAGTATGGAAAAATGGTTTCCCGTGGCTGTTTAATTCATCACAATTCATTTCTGCATAGTTTTTGCTCTGAAATTTCGAATCTGACTTTTGTTCCAGATGTATTCCTCTTGAGAAACACTGACGTGGTCTTTCTACAAAAGGAACAAAATTTTTGCTCAGAGAAAATATTTTTCCCAATGCATTATTTTCATTATTTCCCTCCACAGATTCATCTTTCTCAATATTTTCCTGATACCGACCCTAAACTTGCCACATTACTTCTAGGGGGAAAAAAAAATCAGTGAATCCTACCATTATGAAATGGAGGGGAATGGAATCTCAAGTCAATATCCAAAGAGAACGGAGAAAGTGACCGAGCAGGTGCACAATATAAGTCAAAGGTATTCAATAAAAGAAATAGATAATAAATAATGAACTAAAGACGTGATGTCCTCAAACTCTGGAGGCAATCTATGAATATCTGAAAGCCTAACAGAAGAGCGATGCAAATATGGATAAGATGTGGGGAAGGCAGTTTGTATCTAACGAGCTGCAAAAAAACAACTAAGCCAAAAGGGAAAGACCAAATGAAATAGGCCAAGATCTGACCCAGAGTAGTAAAAGGAGGTACATCTTCTGCTAGGTGGCTAGCCAATGAGTCATATATGGTAAGAGAAGGGAACACCATTCACACTGATGACCTCTTTTCACTTGCTCTAAGTCAACTCTTAAGATTCAGAGACTATGAGCAAAAATGTTAAAATAACAAGGGTCCCAACACACCAATGATCAACTGTGACTTGGCTCCCACTCACTCCCACTGCACTGCTGTACTCACCGGGACCAGACGGACTTGGGAATTCTCTCTCTAGCACTCCTTGTTCTTTCTCCAAGTGGACCATTGCTTCTGGTCTAGTAACTTGATAACCTGTCAAGAAGTAATCCCCCAGAGAACTGAGCAGTATTAGGGCCTATGATGAAAAATTCTGTTTTAGGGAATAGAGAGTAAATCTCAGCAAAACAGAAGCTTTCATTCAGAAAATGAACGTAAGTACCATCACTGGTCATAAAGAAAATAAGTTCCATCACCTATGTAACTCCAAAATCAATAAGGATATCAGAGTACCCATAAATTGTGTCAATGGGAAAAAAAAATTGTTATCAATGGGGGAAAAAAGCCAGGCAATTAATGGACTCATGGTGAGAAAGTTGTCTTTAGGAAAGTTGTCTTTACCCAATGACATTAGGTTGCTATAATTTTCCAACATCACATCCCGGTAGAGGTTCCTCTGAACAGTATCTAGCAGCTGCCATTCTTCCCAGGTGAAATCCACAGCCACATCACTGAATGACAACAAGCCCTGTAATAACATAATCCTCTTTAATCTGGAGTTAATATAATGGAATAAATTATAGAAGATATACAGGATATTATTCTGATTATTTTTACTATAGAAATTTAAACAGGGGTGCCTGGATGGCTCAGTTGGTTGGGCAACTGCCTTCGGCTCAGGTCATGATCCCAGAGTCCCGGGATCGGGTCCCGCATCGGACTCTCAGCTCCTCGGGGAGTCTCTTTCTCCCTCTGACCTTCTCCCCTCTCATGCTCTTTCTCTCTCTCTCTCTCAAATGGATAAATAAAATCTTTTTTTAAGAAAAGAAATTTATAAACAAGTATTTCTCTATATCTAGTTTTGATTTACACTTAGTGTGCTAATAAATCCACTGAAATAATCCTTTCTGCATTTTTTGTAAAAATTTATCTATTTATTTGAGAGAGAGAACAGGGGCAGCGGCAAAGGGAGAGAGAAGATCCCAAGCAGACTCTCTATTTAGTGCAGAGCCCAAAAGGCTTGATCTCACAACCCTGGGATCACGACCTGAGCTGAAATCAAGAGTTGGATGCTTAACTGACTGAGCCACGCAGGTGCCCTTCCTTTCTGCATTCTTCATTCACTTCTTCCCTCATTCATTCACCCAATGTAAAATGTTGTTAAGACTTTACCTAAAAAGCATCTACAACCCACCTTAGGAGCATTTAATGTTATTTTTGTTTTTTTAAGATTTTATTTATTTATTTGAGAGAGAGAGCGTGAGCTATGGGAGGGGTAGAGGGAGAAGCAGACTCCCCGCTGAGCAGGCAGCCCCGACTTGGGTCTCGATCCCAGGACCCCAAGATCGTGACCTGAGTCGAAGTCAGCCGCTTAACCAGCTGAGCCACCCAGGTGCCCCAGGAGCATTTAATGTTACCCACTATACACTGCAGTAAAAAAGGAAATAAAGCACAATCCTGACACCCTGTGGAGTGGCAAGTACACTCCTTTACAGAGTTCATATACGGCAAGACGGTCTGGTTTAACAAGGCTTACAACAGAAGTTCACTCAAGTTAAAACGGGGGGCACAAGTAGGTGAAGAACGAACAGTTCTGAGGAAGAGGTCAAGCTGAAGAGGTGCATGGTTCCTGGTGTGCTCCATGGTAAGACTGGGAAGACACGGGAGCTGTGACTCTTCCAGAGGAAGCATGTGTTAAAAGTGTTAAATACCATGCTGGGTTCCAGGAACTGCAAAAAGTTCAATGAGACAGAAGAAACCAAAGAGAACCGATGCCCGGGGTACAAGCAGCAACAGACCAGAGCAAGCGGACACATTTCCTGCAGACACTTGGTAGACACTGCAGTGTTTTTCTTTTTCCTTCTTTCTTTCTTTTTTTTTTTTTTTTTAAGATTTTATTTATTTATTTGACAGAGATCACAGTATGCAGGGGGCGGGGGGAGGAGGGAAGCAGGTTCCCCGCTGAGCAGACAGCCCGATGCGGGGCTCGATCCCAGGGCCCTGAGATCATGACCTGAGCCGGAGGCAGAGGCTTAACCCACTGAGCCCCCCAGGCGCCCCTGCAGTGTTTTTCATAAAGTATGTTATGCTCAGAACTGCCTTTTAGAAGTTAACTTTGCTATGTATTAAATCATGGTACTCACAAAAGCAAAAACAGAACTAACTCTTACTGTGTGCTGCATATTGTTAGAAATATGTTATGAACATGTTACATATGTTCACGCAATGACGTACACCGTGACCCTCGGGTAAAAATTAATCTTATTTTCTCTTTGTAGATAAGAAGAGATTTTTAAAAAGTTTTCTAGCTATGCCTTTTGAATCTCCCGCATTTCCTTGGGAAGATGACCATTTACTGGGTCCACAGTCTGGAGAAAAACTGAAGAGGAAGACCCATCAAATGCACTTCTTCATCTTTAATCTCTGGGAAACACGTACTCAGAAAGTTCATGTGCTTCCTGCTTATATACAAAGTAAATCTTAAATATGTTTTTGTTCTTCTGTGGTTTCCAATATTACCACAAAAATGTCTGCAACTCTGCTCTGGATCCTGCCACTTCTGTGGAAATGTTACAGTTGTTCGCACCTTGCAACACGTGACATACAGATAAGATAGAACTCCCTCCCTGATTGGCTACTCCAGGTCATTATTCTGTCTCCCAGTCTAAGCACATCTCTGCCAGCTGCAAGAGATCTATATACATCATTCCCTTTGATTGTATACATTTTTTAAATTGTTCACTGTAGTTTTCACACGATGTTACATTAGTTTCCGGTGTTACAAAATAGTGATTCAACAAGTCTATGGTTATGCTATGCTTACCACAAGTGCAGCTACCATCTGTCACAGAGACACTATTACAATATCATTGATTATACTTCCTATGCTGTATTTTTTATTCCCATGAATTATTTATTCCGTAATTGGAAGCCTGTATCTTCCCTCCCCTTCACCCATTTTGCCTATCCCTCTCCCCCCTACCTTACCAACTCTGGCAACCATCAGATTGTATACATTTTTACAAACTTCTAGAAATCTGGGAAATAAACAACTAACCTGGGACTTGGTCATTTTCAGTATTCAGGTGTCTCATCAAAGGTATCCTCGGCAAGAATGAGTTTCTAGACTTGAGATCTACGTTTCTTCCTTTATAGGAAGTGCATCATTCTAGGAAGCCGGCATCTATGGATTCAAGGAAAGATTTGTTTGGCGTGGAAATTATAATAAAAGCAGGTTCCCATACATGCAAAGAATTGTTTCAGGCATCTTCTTTTCTCACTTAACCCTCACAATCCTAGGCGGTAGACTATAATTATTCTATTTTAGAGAAAACCAAGAAAGGAAAGGTCAAGCACCTAGCTAAAAGCCACACAGTAACTCTTGGACCAAGGATTAAAACACAAACCCTCAGAACTGATAGAACCTCTGATTCCAGCGAAAATTACCAAATTATGAATTATCCTTTCATCTTAACCAATTAAAAAAAAAAATGGAAACGTGTCTAAAACAACTGTTTTCTCACCCAGAAGTCAGAGAAGGGAAACAAGGCTAGAGACCCTTGGGCACCACAGCTCACTACCTGGAGACTTTCTAGGCCACAGGATGGGGAGAAGGAACCCGAAGAGTCTAGCAGCGCTGCTGAGTTAATGATACAGAATTCAAAATCTGAGGAAGGAAAGATGACTAACACTTGCCAGGCAGTATACCAGTGAAGAGAGGGAAAACTCACTCTACAGAGGATGAGGGTTCCTTTGAGTCTCCGGCTCAGCACTAATGAACTGTGAGGGAACTACCAAGGCCACTGGGAAGAAGCAGGTTAAACAATTCCTGGTGCTTACACAAGAGCAGGAATAGCGGCATTCCCACTAGCCTGGGTGGAAAGACCTTCTGATATGCCCGGTCTTACACTATGCAGAGGTCTCAGGAGAGTATCACCTCAGAAATGGGGACAAAACAATCCTAGACAAAAGACTCTTTTGGCACCACCTAACAGAGCTTAAAAGAAAGCCTCCAAAGAATCTGTTTCAAAGTAACGTGGTTACATCCCAGAACCAACCTCAAAAGTAGTAAAAGGAATAAAAGGAAATCCCGCAGGCAGCCAGGTGAAACTGACAATATCTGACATCCAATCAAAAATTACCAGACAAACAGAGAACCAAGGAAATATGACCCATAGCTGGGGAAAAAAAAACAAGGAAGAGAAACAGACAAAAATGGCCAAAGGGAGAGACCTGGTGGACCAGTACACCAAAAATGCTATTATATATACTTCATATATTCAACAAGTTAGAGGCAAGCACGAGCATGAAAAAAATAACAAAATGTTTAACAAATGCTACTGAAACAATAGGATATTCGTGTTTACCCCATGCCAAAATTAACCAGTAAAGATTTAAGAAGTGAATCTGTTGGGATGCCTGGTGGGCTCAGTCAGTAGAGAACATGATTGTTGATTTTGGCGTTGTGAGTTCAAGCCCCATGCTGGGTGCAGAGATCACTTAAAAAAAGAAATAGTGAAACTTCTAGAAGAAAGCACAGAAAAACTTTAAGTGACCTTGGATTAGGCAAAGATTTCTTGAACAGGGCACAAAACATACAGTAGAAGAAAAAAACTGATAAAGTAGACATCTCAGGACCAAAAATTTTAATATTCAAAAGACACTTGTAAAATGGATCAAGGGGTGCCTGGGTGGCTCAGTGGGTTAAAGCCTCTGCCTTCGGCTCAGGTCATGATCTCAGGGTCCTGGGATGGAGCCTCACATCAGGCTCTCTGCTCAGCGGAGAGCCTGCTTCCTCTCTCTCTCTGCCTGCCTCTCCTCCTACTTGTGATCTCTGTCAAATAAATAAATAAAATCTTAAAAAAACAAAGAAGGATCAAGCTAGAGGCTAGAGTAAAATATTAACAAAATGCATACCTGACTAAAAGACTTCTATCTAAAAAATACAAAGAACTTTTACAACTTCACAAAAGAGACAATCTAGTAAAAAAGAAACAAAATATTTAAACAGACACTTACCCCCCAAAAAAGTAGAGAGACGTCTAATGAACACACAAAAGGCTGCAAATTAAAACCTAAATAAAAGCAAATTAAAACTTAAATAAAATATTCCTACAAACCTGTTACAATGGCGATAATTTTATTTATTTATCTATCTATCTACCTATCAATCAGCTCTAGGCCCAATTTGGGACTCGAACTCACAACCCTAAGATCAGGAGTCATGTGCTCTACCAACTGAGCCAGCCATGTTCTCCAGAATGGCTATAATTTAAAAGACTGAAAATACTAAGTACTGACTAGGATGTGAAGAAAAAGAACTCCCCTCCTCTGCTGGTAAAAATACAGTATGGTACAGCCACTTTGACTTGTACATGAATGCATACTGCAGCTTTATTGAGAATATTCAAAACCAGGGCACCTGGGTGATTCAGTCGTTAAGTGACTGCCTTCGGTTTAGGTCATGATCCCAGGGTCCTGGGATGGAGCCCACATCAGGCTCTCTGCTGGGCGGGAAGCCTGCTTCTCCCTCTCCCACTTCCCCTACTTATGTTCCCTCTCTCCCTGTGTTTCCTTCTGTCCAATAAATAAAATCTTTAAAAAATATATATCTAAAACTGACCCCCTAAATCCAAAACATTCATCAAGTGGGGAATGAACATATTGCGGCCTATCTGTGCCACCGCTTAGTACTCAGCAGCAGAGAGGAATAAACTCATGATAAATGGAAAATCATGGACGAAGATGAAAAGCATTAATTATTCTAAGCGAAAGAAGCCAAACACCAGGGACTGACAGCGTAGGCAGCTAGCTGGGTATGAGCAGGGAACAAGTGATTTCCGACTGTAAAAGGGCGGAGGCCAACCTCCAAACCCCCGAGGAAGATCCCAGAGGATATGCCTGCGCTCTTCCCCATGACTGCCCTAGAGTAACTCGGAGCCTTACTATAATACATTTACATTGTGGTTTTAACCCCCTCCCCAGAGAATGGCTGCCGTGACAGTTCTGACAAGGGCCCTATAAGGCCAAAAACTCCCAGTAGGTGGAGTCCCTTAGATGACGGGCTGTACCCTCAGTCAGACACTGCCCTACCTATGACCCATAACCTATCCAAAAAGCAAAAACAACCCTGACCCAGCTGCCACCTCTGGGCCTGCTTGCTCTCCCATCTCAAGAATGTACTTTTGCCAAAAAAAAAAAAAAAAAAAAAGAAAGAAGAAAGAAAGAAAGGAATGTACTTTTGCTTAAACTGCTATGAAACCTTTGCTCGCTTAAGAGTTTGACTCTGAATTCTTTCTTGGCGGAACTCAAGAACCAAGGCCAGGGAATGGGACTCCCGCTATATAAAGCCTAAAGAAAATACTGAGAAACCATATGCAGGGATATATAAGAAGAATACTAAGAAAGCCAAATATAGGAAGAACCCTACTATGCACAGTTGACTTTATTCCAAGGATGCAAGGATAGTGTAGTAAGAACTGTTTCATTAGCCCAGCAGATAATGAAAAGACATGTGAGAAAAAACCATGGCCACCAACAATTTAAAGATTTATTTATTTGAGAGGTGGGGGGCAGGTAGAGGAAGAGGAGGAAATCCTTGAACAGAATTCCTGCTAAATGCAGAGCCAAATATGGGGCTCAATCCCAGGATCCTGAGATCATGACCTGAGCCAAAATCAAAAGTATACAGCTCAAATGACTGAGCCACCCAGGTGCCCCACCACTGACAATTTAAAAATATATATATTACTAAACTAAAAATACACAAGCAAGAGTATCTAAAATAGTCCATGGCATTTCTTTAAACTTAGGGACAGGGATAATCTCTCTTTGAAGTCAAAAATGTACCAGATAAAAACTTGAGCAATAAATGGGAAAAATAAATTAAAAGAAAAACAAAATTGTCATTATGCAACTGCTTTAATTCAATATAAACATTAATTGCAATTTCATATTCAAACAAGATTTAAGAGGGGAGAAAAGCCAGTATTTACAAGGTACCTGGGAGAAACTGCAAGATAGAAGTCTTACTAGAGCAAAAAGAGGAGCACCAGGGTTGCTCAGTGGGATAAGTGCCCGACTCTTGATTTCGGCTCTAGTCATGCTCTCAGGGTCATGAGATGGGAACCCTAGTAAGGTTCTGTGATCAGAGGCGAGTGAGCCTCTCCCTCTCCTTCTCCCTCTGCCCTCCCCCCAACTCATCTGCTCTGACGTGTGCTCAAGTGAATAAATAAAAATTTTTTAAATAAATAATTTAAAAAACATATTATTATAGCAAAACGATATCCAGCCAATCCAATCATAACCAGTCAAATGGAGAGAGACAAACCAGAAGCTTCCATCGTCCTATCCTTTTGGAGTCAGAACACATTACTCTTTTTTTTTTTTTTTTTAAGATTTTAGTTATTTGACAGGCAGAGATCACACGCAGAGAGAGAGGAAGGGAAGCAGGCTCCCTGCTGAGCAGAGAGCCCAATGCAGGGCTTGATCCCAGGAACCTGGGACCATGACCCGAGCTGAAGGCAGAGCCCCCAACCCACTGAGCCACCCAGGTGCCTCAGGACACATTACTCATTTAACATATCTATAAGTGACAATATGTAGGGTACCGCCAACCACAGAAGTTCACCCGAGCGTCAGTGTCTACAGTTTTTATTAAGTAAGCATGACTGACCTAATCACTGGCCATGCGACTCAACCCCCAGCACCCTTACCATCTCAGAGGTTGGGCTAGTATTACCAGGCTCAAAGCCCCAACCCTCTGATCACATGGTCAGTCTTTCTGGCATACGACATAAAACAGCCCCATCCTGAGTCACCTCACTGTCCTAACTATCTACAGACCCACCACGAATAACAAAGACTCCTGTCACTCAGGAGTGACAGGTTTTAGAGGCCACTTCCTAGGAGTGGGGGACAGAGACCAGACAGACTGTTTATTACAAAATAACTAGCAAAAGATACGCATTCCAAATATGTCGGGTAAAGACAAACTTTTCAGTTTTTTTTTTTTTTTAAACTTTTCAGTTTTATTTAAAGTTGGCCCATCTATATATAAAGATGGTCAATCACTATGTTGTACACCTGAAACTAATGGAACATTGTGTATCAACTATACTAAATTAAAATAAATAAAAGAAGAAAATTGGCCAATGAACATATAAATAGATGATCAACCCTGTGAGTAATGAGAACAGTGCATATGGAGACCACAACGAGATGAGGTTTATACCCCCAAAATGGTCAAAAAGCAATAATGAAAATACTAAGTTGGAAAGCTTATGCACCAACAGGCACTTTTATACACTGCTGATGATAGAGTTCTGTACCGCGTTACAGAAGCAATTTGGTTTTTCCTTCTAGATAAAAATTCATCTACTTTGTGCCAGAAATTATACTTCTAAATATATAGCCTAGACTAGACAAATTCTCACAACAACTAAGAGACATACAAGATTTTTCAGAACTTCCCTACTTTTAACAGCCAAAACCCAGAAACAATACAAATGTCCAACAGCAGGAGAATGGATGCATGCACTACACTGTATTTATGCAATGAAATTCGTATTAATACACCAAGCCTACACGCAAGACAGATGAATCACAGACTGATACCGAATCAAGAAAACCAGGCCTGGGCGCCTGAGTGGCTCAGTGGGTTAAGGCCTCTGCCTTCGGCTCAGGTCATGATCCCAGGGTCCTGGGATCGAGCCCCGCATCGGGCTCTCTGCTCGGCAGGGAGCCTGCTTCCTCCTCTCTCTCTGCCTGCCTCTCTGCCTACTTGTGATCTCTGTCTGTCAAATGAATAAATAAAATTAAAAAAAAAGAAAAAAGAAAAAGAAAACCAGGCCTCAGAATACCACATTATAATATCCTCATTATAAAACTTACAAACTCAGAAAACTAAAATGTGTATTCTTACTACTACTTAAGAGTATATCCATATACATGTGATAAAATTATACAAGTCCAGGGAATAATACATTCTAATCTGTGCATAGTAGTTCCAAGGTATGGGAGGGTTAGAAGGAGAGACCAGGAAGATGGAACAAGGATGGAGACTTCCATTTTCAAATCAAATATGATCTTGATTAAACAAAACTATAAAGAAAAGGTGAGGCTAGTCATTTTTTTCTAAATCGGGCTATCGTATTAGAAAAGAATGAAAAGATGATTAACCCACTGTCACTAAAGATGTCGAAAAACCTGGCACAGTGTGTGGATGCATGAGATAATGGAACATTATTGGGGAATGTGGTAAAATTAAACCAGAGGCCTCTGAAATGCGCATTTAATCCAGCCTACTCTTACCCATTAAAAAAGGGAAAATATCCATTAAATATAATTCACTTTAAAAAAATACATTTCAAAATATTACAGATAGTTTAAGGTGATTATCTGCTTTTATTGATGATAAGTATATAATGATACCGTAATAAAAAATGACAAGAACATTTAATATGAAACATAAATACACATAGTTAAGAAATATATATGTATGTATATGTTCATATATATATGTGTATTATATATATATAATTTTAAAAGTTAACAGAACTGTTTCAAACATAAAAACTCCCATTAAGGAAGTATACATTTAAATCATAATAGCTACCTTTTGTCAGGTACCTACCTGTTATGGAGTTAATATTTATGTCCTCCAGCCGTGCCTAGCTTGTTCAATCTGTAGAGGATATGACCTTGATCTCAGAGTTGTGAGTTCAAGCCCCACCTCGGGCACGGAACCTACTTTAAAAAAAAAAAAAAAAATTGCAGCCCTCAAACTCATGTGTATTTGGGAATAAGGCCTTTGGGAGGTAATTAGGTTTAGATGAGGTCATGAAGTTAGGGCCCTCAGAAGTACCTGTGAGTTAAATACCAATGTGTTTGAGTGGAAAAACCGAGAATTAAAGAACTTAGCACCTTATGACAAATCACACAAACATGTAGCAGAAAGGACAAGAAAGTTAGGACTAGCTTTGAGCAGTGGCAGCATCTTAGCCAACGAGGTTTATCCGAGGAGCGATTACTGCTAACTGAAAAAGCTAGGACTACCCTGATTTCATGCGCGTGCAAAAACGCACGTGTCCACTGGCTGAGACGCACACACACTTCCTAAGTGTTTATGGCACGGTTTTAACAACTCGTGGATCTATTCACGTCGGGTGAACCGTTTTGCTATTCTTTCGACTTTCTGTACGCTTAGATTCAGCATAAAAAGCTGGGAAATAGGACACCCCAATATGCACACCCAAATGTCTCCCTGCGACTCCTCGCGTTCCAATCCCACCCACCTCTCCCACGAACACCCTGCGCTTCGCTCTCGCACCCATTCACAGCCCCCCAGACACCTATTTTCAGAGGGATCACGGATCCCTCGGATGCTCACACTCGGACCATAGGGACCTCAGATGACCCCCGATCCTTTCCTCACCGAACAGACCCCGATGGGCCCCTCGGTCAGTGGTTCTCCCAACGCCTCTGTCTACCGCCTGGGGCGCGACCCGGAACCCACCTGTCGCTCTCAGTAGGCACTGTCTTTCGTCCTCAACACTTAATGCCAGTCCAAACTTCCGCCAACGCCCCTGACAACCCCGCAGCCACCGAAAACAGACACCCCCCACGAGTACCCACACGACCCGCATCTCAAGTCGCGGAAGTCCCACAGCGCGGGACTCTGACAGCTTCTAGGAGAAAGCGATCCTCGACCGCAAATCTGTGACCTTACGCCGTGAGAACCCAAGCTTCCGTACGCCCCTTCCGCTTCCGCTCATCAAGTTTGCGGACCGGAGTCTCGGAATCAGTGGCACTTTGGAGCGAACCACCAATGCACAGGCCCTCATTCTGGCCCTGGTTAGAATTTTATCGCCGGGCAGCGTCGCCGCTCCGATTTCGCCGCGTTGCGGTGGTAGCGGCCATTGTGCTCCGTGCGCCGCCATCTTGGGTCGTGCGCCGTACGGAGAGCGAGAAGGCCACCCTAGGCGACCGGAGCTGGCCGGCCAGACCAGAGAGGTGCAAATCCAGCCCATCCTTTCTCTTTTCAAGACTTACCGTCTCCACCTCGGCAGCGGCTGTCAGAGCGGACGCGCATGCCTAGTAGGACTTAATCGCTCTCGCCTGGTCTTTGACCTTGAGCGGAGCGCTAAGCCAATCACAGCCCAGGGCTGAGACGGAAATGCTTGCGTCCGCTCGGTCTCCTCGCCCTTTGGAAGCCGCTCGTAGGGAGCAGCCATATTGGGAAGGTCTGGATCCGTACAGAGAAGAGCGGTCCTCGGGGCGGGGAACTGGGGGCGGCTAGGATGCTGGCGGCACACTTGAGAAAACGGGGATTAGGAGACTAGAAGTGGATCTGAAGGAGTAGAGACGACATTAGGATGTGTGCTTCGTGACCGGAAACGGTTGTGGACCAACCGCGACCCACGCCAAAAGAGTACACCTTGTATCTCGTATCCCAAGACAAACCGGGTACATTAAAGAACGATCCTGCATATCCTCGTTAGTCACAGCCCGCCCGGTCGTTTGTTTCTGTGAATACTGTGTAGATAATGATCCCAGCTGCATTGTCTAGTCGATTTCCCCACTGCCAGGTCGAATCATCTCTATCCTAAGGCAAATGTCCCCATCTGCATGGCTAGGTATTCGGACGTTCTGGGTTTTCGGACGTTCTGTTCCATTGTTCTCTTGTTTATCCCTGCGCCAGCACTACTGTTTTAGCTAGGGGAGTTTTCTGAGTCTTACAGTCTGATAAAGGCCTCCTGCCGTATTCTTTTTCTACAAGTCTCTTTGTTCTTTAGGCCCTTTATATTCTCAAAATGTTTAACTCACTTTGTCAGCTTCCACCCCCCAACGCCCAAAAAAAGTGACCGTGATTTGTACTGATACTGCATTGAATCTGTAAATCCTTTAAGTGACATCTCTACAATAATGTCTTAAAATCCATGAACACTGTGTATCACTCCACTTAGTTAAATCTTCTTTAATGTCTCAATAAAGTTCTGAAAAATGTTTCTTACAGTAGTCTTATACGTTTTTATTAGAGTCATTTCATGATATCTGAAAATTTTAATGCTCTTGTAAAGACATTTTACAATTTTATTGCTGAACTCTCTGTTGGTGGTATGTAGAAATACAGCTGATTTGTATATTGATACTATGCCAAGCAAAATTGATAAACTATCTTATTCTAATCGTTTGTGACTATTGTGTTATAAATTTTTAAAACTTCGTAATTTCCCACTGCCTCAACATCCCCACAAACAGACGGAGAGTACACCAATTAGGCAACCAGGTGTATCCCTGTAATAATGTTCACCCCTGCACAAGTTCCTCTTCCTACCCTTCTGTGTGACCTAGTGCCATTCAAACACACCACTGAAATACCCATCAGTCTTTTCTTGTGTACTTCCCCAATAGGGCACTTCCAATAGGAGGTACTCCCTGACCCTCAATAAGGGCATTTACTCAAGGATCCTTGCTCTCACCTCATTTCACTGGTTGAGACTGATCCCTTGGTACTCTATCCTGAGCAACCTCCTCTCATCAAGCAGTGACTCTGTGTCTCAGGCAACCAACTGAGCCACACAGGCACTCCCATATTCTCTTTATTTTTTTTTTAAGATTTTATTTATTTATTTGACAGAGAGAGAAAGCAATCACAAGTAGACAGAGACGCAGGCAGAGAGAGAGGGGGAAGCAGGCTCCCTGCCAAGCAGAGACCCCGATGACGCCCTCCCATATTCTCATTAAATAGTGAGTTTCCCCCATCGTTTTCCATTCTAAACCTTTATTTTTCCCTTTACACTGGGTGAGACCTCCAGTCCGATGTTGAAAGGGTGTGATGATGCAATATTGTCTTCTTCCTGATTTCAAAGTTTCTTTAAGTATGATGTTTACCAAAGATTTTTGTAAAATCCCTTTATCAAATTAAACATTGCCTATATGATTAAGTGTCCATAAAAAATATATCTATAAACAAGGTGTCTAGCTGGCTCAGTCAGAGCAGCAATTTCAGGGTAGTGAGTTCAAGTCCCACACTGAGTGTAGAGCCTACTTAAAAAAAAAAATCCAGGTGCCTGGGTGGCTCAGTAGGTTGAGCTTCTGCCTTCAGCTCGGGTCATGATCTCAGGGTCCTGGGATCAAGCCCCATATCGGGCTCTCTGCTTGGCGGGGAGCCTGCTTTCTCTCTCTCTCTCTACCTGCCTCTCTGCCTACTTGTGATCTCTGTCTGTTAAATGAATAAATAAAATCTTTAAAAAAAATCCATAAACTACAGAGAGCTTCCAGGTTGGTGAACATATCCATGTGCCAGGAGGATGGTGCACTCCAGCTCCACAGGGACAGAGCTCCTGCCACTGGGGACCCTTCTGGACATCACCCTTCAGCTAGACCTAAGTGCATGATGTATTTTCGGGGACATCTTGGCTGTTTTGTAAGAGTTTTGAGGTCCTTACAGCAAAGAAAATGTTCCCTGGGCAAGGAAAAGGGAATCCAGCAGAAGAGACTCTAAGGATGTCTCTAGCAAAGGAGAAATCTAGAGAAGTGAAATTGACTCAAGAAAGAACTCCAGGAGTGTCTCTGTGAAGAGATCTAGACCATAGAAAATGAAGGGAGGGGTGTTTACTGGGATAAATAGGGCTTCTGGGGTGTTCTGTTGCTTGATCTGAGTGGTAGTAGATAGTTGCTCACACGTAGCTGTCGCCATTTTATGTTAACCTGATAGCGGCGTGTGTGACTGCTCTTTTTTTTTTTTTAAGACTTTAGTTATTTATTTGACAGAGACACAGTGAGAGAGGGAACACACGGAAGGGGGCGAAGCAGGCCTCCTGCTGAGCAGGGAGCCCAATTCAGGGCTTGATCCCAGGACCCTGGGATCATGACCTGAGCCGAAGGCAGACACTTAACAACTAAAGCACCCAGATGCCTTTTCTGCATGGTATATTTTACAATACAAATGTTTGAATAATTGCACCTACTCCACTTTACACAGCTAGAAATCAGTTAGAATGAATAGCTTTTTAGTTCTTCTATTTCAAAGACGATGGCTTATCACTACATAATACTGCATCCAATTTAATAATTGTCCTAATAAACCATTAAAAATTCTGATGTCCCAAAGTTACTTCTGTCCAACTTTATTTCCATGCTCCCATCGAACAGTTCAAAGAAAAAAAATGACAAAGCATCAAGATAATATTAACATTTATACGGTATTGTACTTATTTGATTGCCTTCTATATGAAGCTGAAAGCCTCTGCATGACTAGGTCAATGTCATATAGATCTTTTCATCATCAGTATCTTGGGTATGTGTCTGTCATGTTTTAGACATCCATATATCTTTAAGTTAAGTGAATAACTAGATTCTTCGAGGAAAAATTGTGTTGTGAGTGCATCATTAGCAATTTGAGATTTTTTCATTCACCATTTAAGAGCAGAATCTTGGTGCTGGGGATCTTGAAGCAACAATATCAGAGGGCTGAGGGTGGGACAACATGCCAACAGAAAGCCGATAGTGTTCTGCAGCCAAAGGTGAGATTTGAAAAAACAAAAAACATTATAAATTGTAAGAATAGAATTGGTGAAGTAAAGAAAAAAATGAAGATGCTTGCTAGAAGCAGGGTGGTTTGAGTGGCTTTTGCTTCTGGTGAGAATCTGTGGGCATTTCTGAGGATGTGAATATGCCTCACTCTCTGGTGGTGTCCATGAAGGAGAAGTACCATATATACATTGGATCCAATCATGACTCCCATGAATACACCATCTGGGAAAGTGATTAGAATTGTGTATTTTGTGGTACTAGATGTTTCAGGAGTTTTAGAAGATAATCCTGTATCTTGGTAGAATTGTGAATATGCTGAAGAGCTTCAAACAGCATAGGAACAAAGACACTTCTCAGCAGGTTGGAGATCCACCATAGGAAGCAGGAAGAACCAGTGTTCTTCCAAGCTCTGCCTTCGAGCCCCATCCCCGCACAAGTTCTGGGCCTGATGGTGACAGCCTGGAAACTGTTCGGGAGGGAAGTGGTGCAGAGAAAGGCCTGAGGCCATTCTATGGATATAATAGACAAGTTTACATCCAGTGTTGCCCAGGTTGGGTGATAGTCCCCAGGTAGGTATCGTCTGGGGGATCCCCCTCTAGAGAGGAACCAAGAAGGAGGCCACAGCCATGCTGGTGAGAATCAAGTGTATGGGCCTCAGTGCATGGCCTTCCACATGATGTGGAAGCATAGGATGAGAGAAGAAAGGTATTCCCCAGGACCCTAATCCCAGTCTGGACCAAGAAAAGTCATCAAACATCATTCTCTTGGGGTCATGGGAAGAAGCAGTTCAGCAAAGAGACTGCAGGTCAAGAAGTTAGAATTCAGTGTGACAGCACAGGTCACAGACTTGTTCCAATATACCCAGCTCTGACAGGGACTCTTGGGCCCCTGACAACGCCCTGGACAGAAATTACATTTCTGGGAAGAGCACTCCATACCAGTGAACTCAAAACTGCCACTCAGAGTAGCCATTCTAGCATGCTTCTGTCTATGCTCATACAGCCACACAAGATGGTTCTTTATTTAGTCGATTTCCCAAATCCTTAAGTGTGCATGTCCAGAACATAATCTCAAAGGTAAACCCTTATCTTTCATTTCAAAAAGTTTCTTCAATATCTACTATATGCCCAAATAGGTTGTGAGTCCTCGGATATACCAAGATTAACTGAACTAGATCATTATACCTAAGAACTCCCAGCCTAATGTGGGAGACACATATACAAAATATAAGAATATAAATTATGCCATGAATGAAGGACATAAATGCTTTGTGGAAACATGTATCACGAATTCCAGCACTTACTTAGTAATTCTGTGATAATATATAGAAAATTATATTTTTATTAATTTAGTAAATTATTAAAAAATTATTATGTATATACACAAGGAAAAGTAATGTAAAAACATGAGAGAAAAAAAGTTAATCTGCATCCTCTCTCTCATTTCTAGGCTTACTTCTCTTCCTGGAGATGACCACAGATCTCAAGTGTGCATTCTAGCAGTTTTCGTCCTGTTTTTAAAAAAACATATGTATGTGTGTGTATGTGCTTTAGCAATAAGTAATAAATGTAGGATTGAATGTGTTGCTTATATTTAGAAATTTAAAGTATTCCTCCTAATAAAACATGGGCCAAAGAAAAAAATACTAGAAATATGGCAGTAAAAAAAGAATATGTGAGACATATACCAGGAATGAAAGAACAGGAATTTTATTAATAAAATAAGAACATTAAAATTCACCATATATGTTTTAGTATTATAAAATTCACTTACTATATCTAAGAAGAAAATTCATATGACTGTCACCATTGATGCTAAAAATAGCTTTTGACAAAAATCAACATGATTTTTAAAAAACCACTCAAGGATGTAGGAGTTAGTTTATGATGCTTTCTTAGTGTGATAATGTATATATATACTAGCACTTTATTGGCACTCAACTGAAGCTGCATATTGATCAAGTATCCAGAGAATCCTGTTGGACTCTTATTATTCTCCGTGGCTGTCTGTGGATTCTCCTGTCATTCCATCTAGGCAATCAGGTCATCTGCAAATAATGACAACTTTTTTCTTCATTTCCAAGAGTAAGCCCTTTCATTTTTATTATTGACATATTGTGCTGGTTAAGATCTCCAGCTCAGGAGAGATGTTGCAGCAGACCTCACTGCCAAACAACTAGGGAATATCTCTCAAGTTTTATCATTCAGTGTGAAGTTAGCTGTCAGGCTTTGGTAGCTAATATCTATTAAGATGAAGAAGATATATTTGCATCTGTTTTGCTAAGCAGTTATTTCTTCATTAATTACCATTAATATTTTATCATTTAATCTTGCATTATCATTGCAAGAATGCTGGCACTCAAAATACAGATAAAAATCAACAGTTTTTCAATGGTACTTTTTCCAAATATATTCGTTATTGATGTAAAAATATACATAAAACAAAATTAGCATTTCGAAGTATACAATCCAGTGATGTTTACTACATTCACAATGTTATGCAACTACCACCTCTACCTAGTTCCCATTTTTATCATTCTAAAAAAGAAACAAACAAATCCATAACCATTAATCAGTCAGTCTCCATGCTCTCTTCTCCCCAGGCCCTGGAACCCACCAATTTGCCATCTCTATAGATTTACCTATTCTCCACATTTCATATAAACAGGAATACAATATGGGGTCCTTTGTGTCTGGCTTCTTTCAGTTATCATGTTTTGGAGGCTTACGTTCATTCAACAACATTTCACTTGCATAGGTAACCGATATTCATTATGTATATCTATGTGAATACATGCATATACACACACGTACCACATTTTGCTGATCCATTCATCCACTGATGGACACTTGGATTACTTCCACCTTTTGGTTATTGTGAACAGTGTAGAAGTACTGTAGTACTTCTTCAAAGTACCTGCTTTCAAGTTTGTTCAATATATAGCTGCGGGTGGCACTCCAGGATCATATAGTAATTCTACATTTAACTTTTTAGAGGAATTGCGAAATTGTTTTCCACAGCAAGTGAACCACTTTCCATTCCAGCTATGTTCAAGAACTCCAACTTCTGCAGTGTTATCCTTAATATTAGTAAATACTGGGCATTTTAGGAAATGCTAAGAGAGAAAATGTTTCTAGTGCCCAAGGACGTGTTTTCATAATAAATCCAGAGTTCCTGCATTATACAGCACTTGCAATAAATATACATGAACACACACGTGAACACAAGTCTCTTCTCCCCCTTTGTCTCATATGTTGCTTATTTTTTAGTATTCCATGTAAATCTTTTATCACTTTTGCATATCTAAGAAATAAGGCTCTAGAACAACAGCAGTTTCAAGTAGTGATAGTTCATCACACTTGGCAGAAACACTACAAAAGACAGTAAAAATAAAGACAGCAAATTTATGCAGTCTAATGCTTTAGAATTCTTACTAAGTCAAATTATATATTATAAGGTATTCTGATTTATAAGGAAATAGAACATTTCTATTTCCATGAGATTTTATTATTTTGTCTAATAAAATGTTATAATATTATAAGCATAATATTTATGTTTAATAAATTTTATTAACTCCTAAAAATTATGTTCCTACATGTCATTCCAACAAATAATAAAGTCAAATACAATGTACAATGAGATGTGATTTTTCTTGGCTTTTCTGCACTCACTACAACAGCAGGGTCCCTCCCCTGAATGAATATCCTAATGTATAACAAATGTGACTTGAAAAGAATGATTTCCCACTTTCACTGCACCCACAGGTGTTTCCTCCTAAACACATAGCCTGTGAGTTTCAAATGAAATTTTTGACAATCTCTGAATTTACAATGTTTCTCTCTTTAGGTGCGATCCCTGCGGTAGACTAAGAGGAGTGTTCAGATGAAAGGCTTACAGCTTTCATTGCATCTAGAAGGTTCATTTCCTATAGAAGTTCCAGAATGGTCTACTATAATCAAAGCGTTCATGACATTTCTATTTTATATGAGTTCTCTGAATAGACAAGATTAATCAAAAACTATTTCTCACATTCCGATAGTCATTGCATAGAGAATTTTCTCCTATGCTGAGTTCGCTGATGATTAATAAGAGCTGACTTCCGGAAGAAGGCTTTTGGACATTTGTTGCACCCATAGGGCCTCTCTCCTGTGTGAGTTCTCCAATGCCCAATGAGAGTTGACAAAGTAGCAAATGCTTTCTTACAATCACAGCATTCATATGGTTTCTCTCCTGTATGAATTCTCTGATGTACAGTGAGATAGGATTTAGCTGTAAAGGCTTTATTACAGACATCACATTTGAAAGGCTTCTCACCTGTATGGGTTCTCTGATGTATAATGAGAGTTGACTTACAGGACAAAACCTTTCCACATTCACTGCATCCATGAGCTTTCACTCTCGCGTGACAATTTTGCAGATGGTTAGTGAGACCTGACTTCCGGATGAAAGCCTGCTGACATTCACTGCAGCCATATGGTCTTTCTCCTGTGTGAATTCGCTGATGAATCTTAAGATGTGCCTTAGTGGAGAAGGCTTTCTCACAATCTGAACATTCATATGGTTTCTCTCCGGTATGAATTCTCTGATGGACAATAAGATGTGCGTTCGATGTGAAAGCTTTATCACATATACTGCATTTGAAGGGCTTCTCACCTGTATGGGTTCTCTGATGTATAATAAGAGTTGACTTAGAGGACAAAACGTTCCCACATTCACTGCATCCATGAGATTTCCTGACTACATGCTGAGTTTTCTTATGATTAGTGAGATCTGACTTCTGGATGAAGGCTTGTTGACATTGACTACATCCATACAGTCTCTCTCCTGTGTGAGTTCGCTGATGAATCATGAGCTGAGCCTTTTTTGAGAAGGCTTTCTCACAATCTGAGCATTTGTATGGTTTCTCTCCTGTGTGAGTTCTCTGATGCGCAGTGAGATGTGTCCGAACCATGAAGGCTTTATCACATACTCTGCATCTGAAAGGTCTCTCTCCTGAATGAGTTCTCTGATGTAAGGTGAGTTTCGACTTCCAAGGAAAAGCTTTCCCGCATTTACTGCATGTATAGGATTTCCCTTCTCTATGACGAGTTTTCAGATGATAGATGAGTGCTGACTTTGTAATGAAGGCTTTTGGACATTGACTACATCCATATGGTCTCTCTCCTGTGTGAATTCGCTGATGGATTATGAGCTGAGCCTTTTTTGAGAAGGCTTTCTCATAATCTGAGCATTCGTACGGTTTCTCTCCTGTGTGAGTTCTCTGATGTACAGTCAGATGTGTCTGAACCTTAAAGGCTTTATCACATACTCTGCATCTGAAAGGTCTCTCTCCTGAATGAGTTCTCTGATGTAAAGTGAGTTTTGACTCCCAAGGAAAAGCTTTCCCGCATTTACTGCATACATAGGATTTCCCTTCTCTATGATGAGTTTTCTGATGACAGATGAGTGCTGACTTTGTAATGAAGGCTTTTGGACATTGATTGTACCCAAATGGTCTGTCCTCTGTGTGAGTTTGTTGATGAGTAATTAGCTTTAACTTACTGGGAAAGGCTTTCCTACAATCACAGCATTCATGAGATTTCTTTCCCGCACAAGTTCTCTGAAGCAAGGTCATGAGTGGTTCATAAGAATTCACTGCACATTTATTCCATCCATATGGTTTCTTACCTAAAGGATTTGGGTCATAATGAGTGAGCTCTGACTTCTGAGTGAAAGCCAATGTATCCACAATAGAATGAGCAAGATAATAAGGAAAGGTCCAGAAAAATATTTTTTTCCATTTACTATAAAAAACAGTAATGAGATAATCAGTAAAATCTGAGTAAGCTCTGTAGATTGGTTAATGGTTCTATATCCATACCAATATTCTGATTTTTTTCTTTTTTTAGTATTTTGTTTACGTGGAAAAATTAACTTATTTCTAGGAAATACACATTCAAGTATTTCGGTATAACGAGTTCAGAAAGACAGGATGTGTGTATGTGTGTGAATGGAATAATAGGTGGATAGAATGTGATAATGCAAATGTGGTAAAATATTACCACTTAGGGAAATCTACAAAAAAGAATATGTAAGGGACACCTGGGTGATTCAGTCGGTTAAGCGTCTGCTTTCCGCTCAGGTCATGATCTCAGGATCCTGGGATCGAGCCCCATGTCAGGCTCCCTGCTCCACAGGGAGTCTGCTTTTCCCTCTGCCCCTCATCCCACTCATTCTCTCTCTTTCCCTCTCTCTCAAATAAATGAATAAAACCTTTAAAAAAAAGAGTATGTAAGAAATTCGTGTATAATTTTGGGATTTCTCACTAAGTCTAAATTGCTCACAAATAAACATTTTCAATAGGAGAAAAATATAAAATAAAGGACCTTTATGTAAAGATATGTAGGAGTATTACTTATAACAGCCTGAATGTGGAAAGGAGAATTTGTTTTATGTTCACACAATGGCACCCTGCACAGTACTCTGGTACTCTTGATCTAGTGCTGGTTACACAGTATACTGACTGTAAAAATTAACTGAGCTGTACCCTTATATCTATATATTTTTGTGTATGTTACACTTCAAAAAATTTTTACATAAAAAAGTAAGCAAAAATTTAGGCAGGAGTCAGGAAATGCTCACATGTAGGAGGAATTTGGATATTATACTAATAGTAACAGGATGCCATTCAAGGTAATAGTGGGAGAAAGATGACATGTCCTTGATTTTCACTTTTATGAATGTCATCCTGTGTGTATATATATCAGTTATCACACTAACGAGGTCTTAAGTATTGTGACATAAATACTATTTTTAGGATTGCGGACTGTGCTTGGGAAAATCAGTAAAGACCTGCTATGGCACATATCACTTTTTTTTTTATTATACTTTAGATCTTTCCCTCTTTCCTCCAACTCAGAAGACTGTTATTTCCATATGATGGTTTAGTTATCTTCCATACTCAGATAATTGTCTGAACCTGATGTCTTTATACGTCTGCATGTTTCTAAAGTTTCTTTTTGTCTTCATGAATTTTGGGGGTGAGAGGATGGAACAACTAACTTTATTACTTTTTAAAAATAAATAATAAAAAAAGACCAAGAAATCTGGCTATTACGTGGAGAATAGAGAGAAACAAGAATAAAGAACTGAGAGCATTCTCAAGAAAACTATAATAATTTTGGCAAGAGACAATGGATGTTGGGGCTTGGGTGAAACAATAGTTATAGAAAGGAGTAGAGGACCTCCAGATACAATGAGGAGAAAGTACAGACTACACTCGCTGATGGACTGGATTTGTGGTGTGAGTGAGAAGAGGAACCAAGAGTGACATGATGTTTGAAGTAATTATTAGATTTCCGAGTGCAGAAATGAAACACATAGGCGAATGTGTATGGATAAAAGAAGAAAGTCTAGGTTGGAGACAGAAATTTGGGGCTCATCAGCATATAAATAGTATTCTTAAGGCCATGAAAATGAATAAACCACACTAGAAATAAATGATAGAAATAGGCAAGGATGAAGCCTCATGATCTCTGACTCTGGAGACTTGTGAAGATGCCCAGAAAATGGACAAAGTCCATCCATTAGGTGCAGACAATGACCAAAGAAAGATGCCAACATAAGTCTTGAACAAATATCTGGTAGAGGCAGGTTAGAATGAAGAATCTCAGCTTCTCATTCAAAGATAAGCATAGTTAATCCTCTTACTGATTCTTTTTTTTTAAGGATTTTATTTATTTATTTATTTATTTATTTATTTATTTATTTGACAGAGAGAGAGATACAGCGAGAGAGGGAACACAAGCAGGGGGAGTGGGAGAGGGAGAAGCAGGCCTCCCACCAAGCAAGGAGCCTGATGCAGGGCTCGATCCCAGGACGCTGGGATCCGGACGCAAGTTGAAGGCAGACGCCCAATCGACTTAGCAACCCAGGCACCTCTCTTATGGATTCTTTTCTAATTTTTTATGCAACAGACAGCAAGCTCTAATATATTTAGACACCACCACTGTGGTCAACATTCCCACCTTCTAGCTTGTTTTGATACATTCAGAGAAGGTCCACTGAAGTCCAAAAACCTGAACTTAGGATAAAAGGCTTCTGTGTTAACTAAAATTGTTACATCCCTTGATCAGGTAAAAGGGGTGAAAGAGCTGCTGAGAAAACAGGAAAGGGCATTGCCAGAGAGGAAATAGAAGAGGAGGAGGTTTGGAAGCTGTACAGGAAACATTCTACTGAACATAAATCAATCCAAAGAGAGAAAAAGAGGTGCACATCTCCCCGAAACACCAGGCAAATGAGAGCCTCATTAATTATTTAGGTGTCTGTAAGGACCTCTAAAGCCTGACCCTTGTTAAAATGCGTTTGGAAGGGGTCATCCCCTCATGGCCAACTACGTTACTTTCAAAGTCTCACATCTTCTTGTTTTCAGTTGCTCACTTACCTGAAAAGCACTGACATTGCATTTCATTTTCTATGCTCCATTACTCTTCTTTATGCTCAAAATTAAGGATCATATCTGGCTTGGTAGCTGGATAGCCTGTTCATGGGAAATGACAAAGACTCGGACACTTATAATTGGACTTGGTGGGAGATATCTAAGGAAAAGCACGAAAGTCTCAGGAATTGACACAGTTTCACCTTGACAGATCAAGTATCTATCGAAGGGGAGAGCACACAAATTCTATCTGGGAACAGAAGACAGACTAAGAATCTATTGCCTATAAACTGAACTCCAGTATCTTGAAGCTCTTTGGAAGCCAGGGCAACTGAAAAAGGAAAGGCTATTGTCTGTGACACTTTGCAGGACACACAGCAATCATCTTTAACTTTTGTCACAGATTGCTAGAATTCTCCAACATCATACCCAGATATAGATTCTTCTGAGCAGAACCTACTAGCTGCCACTCTTCCCAAGGCAGCTGCTTAACCGATTGAGCCAGCCCGGCCCCCCTACATCATACGCTCTTAAGTATCTATTCACCTTCATTCCTTTAGCAAATTCAGTGGTCTACATTTCATTATTCTACCTTTGCCCTAATGTTGATTGTATGGCTTGTTATCCCTTCAATTCTGAATTTAGGAATGTTTGCATATTTCCACTTGTTATTTTTATAAGCCTCTGCAAATCCATGATGACAAGGGCAAGAAACAAAAACCCACCAGGGCCTTGGTCATTTTCTTCTGTTCTTTGGAAATCATCAGCATTTTTTTTAAAAGATTTTATTTATTTATTTGACAGACAGAGATCACAAGTAGGCAGAGCAGCAGGCAGAGAGAGAGGGGGGAAGCAGGCTCCCCGCTGAGCAGAGAGCCCGATGTGGGGCTCGATCCCATGACCCCGGGATCATGACCCGAGCCGAAGGCAGAGGCTTAACCCACTGAGCCACCCAGGCGCCCCAATCATCAGCATTTTTAAGTCTACTGTCTTTTCTGGTTCTGAATATCTGACAAGAAAGCTCTGATTAAGGGTAAAGGAGAGGGGCGCCTGAGTGGCTCAGTGGGTTAAGCCTCTGCCTTCAGCTCAGGTCATGATCTCAGGATTCTGGGATCGAGCCCCACATCGGGCTCTCTGCTCAGCAAGGAGCCTGCTTCCCCCTTCTCTCTCTGCCTGCCTCTCTGCCTGCTTGTGATCTCTGTCAAATAAATAAATAAAATCTTAAAAAAAAAAAAAAAGAGTAAAGGAGACAAGGGGCACCAGGGTGGCTCAGTTGTTAAGCCTCTGCCTTTGGTTCAGTTCATGATCCCAGGACCCACATTGAGCCCCACATGGAACCCTACATGGAGCCCCAAATCGCATCCTGCTCAGCGAGAAGTCTGTTTCTCCCTCTCCCACTCCCCCTGCTTGTGCCACTCTCGCTGTGTCTCTGTCCAATAAATAAATATCTAAAAAAAAAAAGAATAAAAGACACATTTCAATGACAGACTAGCTTTTAGTTTTTTTTAATATTCTTTTTTTAAAAAAAATATTTTATTTATTTATTTGACAGAAAGAGACATCACAAGTAGGTACAGAGGCAGGCAGAGAGAGAGGGGGAAGCTGGCTCCCCGCTGAGCAAAGAGCCTGATGTGGGGGCTCAATCCCAGGACCCTGAGATCATGACCTGAGCCGAAGGCAGAGGCTTAACCCACTGAGCCACCCAGGCACCCCAGCTTTTAGTTTTGACAATTACTCAACATCCTTCTTTTCATGGGGGAATGAATTCCTTTTTTTAGCAAGAGCATGTGAGTGCAGGGGTTTGGGGTGGGGGGTGGGGAGGAGAGAGAGAATCCCAAGCAGGCTCAACACTCAGTGTGGAGCCCAACACAGGGTTCAGTCCCACGACCCTGATATCATGATCCAAGCCAAAATCAAGAGTTGGATGCTCAACTGACTGAGACACCCAGGTGTCCCATGAAGGATGAATTCTTAAAAGCACAAAGCTGGGGTTAGAAAATGGAGCCCTCACAGACAGACTAATCAGCCCACACACCAGCTAGGAATTTCTAGTCTACCTTCACCCCTAAAACACAAATACAGAGAAAGCCAAACCTGGAGTAACTGCTCCCCTATACAGAACTAGCACTAGGCAACTTCTTGTGGGACAGCTGATTCTGGACTTCTTCCCTGAGGTCTGGCAGGTTCTAAAATCCGAGACCCAAGTTCTAGACTGGAAATCAAGATGAAAGTAGGTAGAATCTGTAAATCTGCAGAGACTGTGTTGTGAGGTTCTAAAGTAGGTAAATCAAATTTCTTTCCGCTGAAATCATCATCCCACTCATAACAATACTATTTCAAAATTGCTTGCTTAGTCTTCAAGGCACTGCATGGCAGACATTGTTCTAGAAGTTTTCTGTTTGTGGTGATAAGAGCTGTTAGGAGGAGGCCAGGACAAAACACTCCACAGAACACAGACTACCAAAGTTTTTTCTGGGGACCAGGAGCAGAAGGGATGGGATAAACGGAACAGTAAGGTTCAGTAGGACCCACAGATTCCCTTCCCAAGCTACTAATATGGGGTCTACCTAGCCCCCCCAGAGCAGGCGGAATGAGGGCAAATGCCTCCCACACAACAAGAGCTCTCTAGAGCCATCTCTTGCGGCAGCCACACAGCAGGAAAGACCTACCAAGATCTGACCTTTTCCAAGCTGAGCCACGGGATGAACTTGGAATCGACCCAAAGAAAACCAATTCCCTCACATGCTGCATATAGAAGCCCTAGTCATCTTTAATAGGGTCTGACAGGCACCCTCTTTAATAGCTACTTGAACCCAGGCAGAATTCTCATGTGAAGAAAAACAAAGGCAGATGGACTGCATGTCCCAGAACCGATGTGGCAGCCAAACAGCCAAGAAGCACTAGGTACTAACTAGGAAGACAATATATCCCAAACTGCACCTTCCGGAAAACTGTGCCTCAGCACAGGTGCCTCAGTTCCCAGGAAACCCAGAGGGACTAGAAAGAGACCAAACTACACTCCCCAAATTCAGCTGGGCTTGGGTCTCCTCCTCATGGGGTCTGGTCCTGATGGAAATCATCTCCTTCTGACCTCTTCCTGGAAGGTTGAACAACCTAGGGTTGGGGCTCCAGTCACTAGACTGGCCTCATCTACCCCTTTGCTCATGTGGAGAGAAATCCCACAGTAATTTTTATAATCCATTTACTGCAACATTCTTAAGCAGACAGTATTTATAATAGCTGTTTTGATAGCATTTTCTTTAATTCTGTCACCCAGGTCAATCCTGGGTCTCTACTGACTTTTCGTCATGTTGATAGGTCCTAATTTTGTTTTGTTTTTTTTGCATACCTGGGTAAGTTTTGACTAGATGCCAGACACTGTGATTTCCACATTGTTGGTTTTCTCAGTTGATGGACTGCTTTCTCTTCTTTAAATACTACTGGGCATAGGTCTGGGAAGCAGTTAAACTGCTTGGAGACAGTTTGGTTTTGTAGCAGCTTGCACTTATCCTTTGTCAGGAGGGCTCAGAGCAGCCATTACTCTAGAGCCAATCTGAGTGACCCACTGAAACACTATTTTTCTGAAGTTCTGCTGTGACTTTCCAAATACTGGGAGGGGTTTCCATTCCAACTGGTGGAAACAAATTACTCCCAACCTGTGCAAGTTCCAAGGATAGTTCTGCCTGTTCGTTCCAGTGGTTCTTCCTCCAGCCCAGGGAGCTTCCTCACACATACGTGTTGATTACAACTTCAAATCATGTGGGGGAATGGGTTCGCTTTGGGTGCAGCTCTCTCCTCTCCTCTAACCTGCGCCATAAATTTGAGCCACCTTGAATTCTCCAAACTCTAAACTCTGCCTCAATTCGTAGAAACTGCCAGGATCTGATGAGATTCCCCCTCCCTATGCTACAGAATGGAAACTCTGTCCAGGCTGGGGTAGTCATAAGACTCCCTTCATTTGTTTCCTTTCTTTCAAGTTAGCTGTGCTGATCTCCCTATTACCCTATGTCTGAAGACAGGCTATTCATATATTTTGTTACTTACTGAGTGAATAAAATTAAACATTTCGTGTTAAACAAAAAAGGTTGTTGGAATTAGCTGTGAAGAATTCTGTTACTTAGGGGGCGCCTGGGTGGCTCAGTGGGTTAAGCCGCTGCCTTCGGCTCAGGTCATGATCCCAGGGTCCTGGGATCGAGTTCCGCATTGGGCTCGCTGCTCGGCAGGGAGCCTGCTTCCCTTCCTTTCTCTCTGCCTGCCTCTCTGCCTACTTGTGATCTCTCTCTGTCAAATAAATAAATAAAATCTTTAAAAAAAAAAAGAATTCTGTTACTTAGGTGCATTATGGAATATGCATTCTACACTCAGAATAGGATGTTGATTTATACAATTTCAGAATACATATGAATACATTTGGCAGCATTCGCAGCACATAAATCTCACATTCCTTTAGAGCATTTATGAGTTCTTTTCCAGTACTGATCGTTTTATTTATATTTCTTAATAGTATTCCTTGCTGTCACATCTAATGACACAGGTGTAAGAGTCCCTGTTTGTAGAAAAAAAGTTACTGTATTTGGACTGTAATTATCAAAGACAATTACTTCTCTGTGAACACGCTTCTCTAGATTTATTTAATGGCTAGGTAGGAATATCCTGTAGTATGAATACTCTGACATCTAATGTTTTTGTGGTAGACAGAATGGACTCCCAAAGATGTTCATGTCCTAATCTCCAGACCCTGTAAATATGTTACATTATGTGGCAAAAGGCATTTAAAGTAAAAGATGCAATTGGGTATTTTAGGGCCATGTGAATTGTTTCTAGGATTTCACAGGCTCATAGAGAGGAATTGTGCCTCAGGACAAATCATATCCAGAGCCTCAACCAATTCTTGATTTAGAGCGTTTAAACTCAAGATTTAGGTGGAATTTTAGACTTTGAGTTGGTACTGTAATAGGTTGAGACATCTGGAGGTGCTGAGAGAGACTGAATGTATTTTTCATGTGGTATGGACACAAATAATTGGGTGCCAGAGGGTGGTCTGAAGGAGGCAGAATAATGGCCCCCAAAGATGTCTACATCCTAACCTCCAGGACTTGTGAGTATGTCACAGTATAAGGCAAGGGGAATCAAGGTAGTAGGTGGAGTTACAGTTGCTAATTAGCTGATTTTAAGATAGGGAGGTTATCCTAGATTACTTGGGTGGGCCTTAAATGTAGGAGAGGGAGGCAAGAGTCAGTGTCAGAGTGATGGAAGAGTTGACCAGCCACTGCTGGCTTGGAAGGTGGAAGAGGTCTGCAAACCATAAATTCAGGCAAATTCTAGCAGCTGGAATGACAAAGAAAAACAGGTTCTCCCTGGAGCCTCCAAAAAGAAATGTAGCCCTGTCAACCCCTTGTCCAGCAAGACGCATTTCAGATTCTAGACCTCCAGAACTGTAAGATAATATTGTGTTGTTTTAAGCCACCAAATGCATGGTAATTTGTTACAACAGCCATAAGAGACTAATAAAGTTGTAGCTCCATATTCATCACATTCATAGGTTTTTGCTACATAACACAGGATTTCATTTATCAGAGAAGTCTTTCCCAGATTCCCAAGATTCAAAATTGTGACACATTCGTTAGTTTGGCAATAGAATCCCCAGCTTAGAATTTCCATCTTTTATTGTGTTCAGGGGTTTCTCCTTCCTATGAGTTCTTCCACATTTTACTGAAAACGTTGTCCATATTCGGCGTCTCTAGAGGTGTTTCTACACTTCTCTGATGGGATGAGGTAGAATTTAACACTGAAAACATCATCACATTCGTTCCTAATGTTCTGGTCCTGTGGGAATTCTTTGATACCAATGGAGGTATCACCTCCAGGAAAAGGTTTTCTCACATTATCTGCATTGCTGCCCAGTGAAATTTCATAGAAATTTAATAAGTCTGAATTCTCACAGACTTATCCTCTATACCACCTCTATACCTCTATACCACCACTGCATCCCATAGCATTTGTGTCCAAAATGATCTCTGACATATGTCGAGGATTCTTGCTACAGGCTTTTCTGATATCAGATATATTCTGGTACCAGCGATTTTCTTTCCTACACAATGTCTATAACATATAAGACATAATTTATCAAAGAAGGTGTCACATTCACTGCATTTGCAAGACTTATTCCCTGTGGAAATTCCCAATTACCTACTGAGGCCTGACTTCCTAGAAAAGGCTGTTCCACAAACACTACATTTCTACCCCCGAGGAACTCATGGAGGTTTAATGAGGGCTGAGTTCCCAAAGAAGGTATTTCCACAGGCACTGTGTTCATGTTGTTTTGCTCCTGTGCAAGTTCACTCATGTACAAAGAGCTAGGACTCCCTGAGGAAGGTTTCTCCACCTTCAGTGAATTTATAGCTTTCTCTCTTGTGTGAGTTTTCTTATGTTTAATGAGGACCGACACGTGGGCAAAGGCTTTGTCACATTCGCTGCACTCATACGGTCTCTCTCCAGTATGAGTTCGCTGATGCTGAATGAGCTTTGACTTGCTCCTGAAGGCTTTTACACACTCATTGCATCCGTAAGGTTTCTCTCCTGTGTGAATTCTCTGATGCTTGGTCAGGTCCGACTTGAAAAAGAAAGTTCTTCCACATTCACTGCATTTATAAGGCTTTTCTCCCGTGTGAAGCCTCTGATGTGCAATGAGGTATGCCTTCTGGGAGAAGGCTTTCCCACACACACTGCATCCATAGAGTTTCTCTCCAGTGTGAGATCGCTGATGTCTACTGAGCCGGCACTTCCGGCTGAAGGCTTTGCCACATTCACTGCACCCATAGGGTTTCTCTCCTGTGTGAGTTCTCTGATGTACCATGAGCTGCGACTTTCTGGAGAAGGCTCTTCCACATTCATTACATTCGTGGGGTTTCTCTCCAGTATGAGTCCTCTGGTGTTCAGTGAGCTGAATCTTCCTCATGAATGTTTTCCCACATTCATTGCATCCGTGTGGCTTCTCTTCTCTTTCAGTTCTCTGATGCCTAATGAGCTGTGCCTTCCTGGAGAAGGCTTTCCCACACTTACTGCATTCACGTGCTTTCTCTTCTGTATAAGTTTTTTGATGTTCACTGAACTGTGATCTAGTGCCACTGGGTTTCACCCATCCATGGCATTTAAGTCCACTAAGAGTTGTATCCTGCTGGATGTAGACTGATAATTTCTCACATCCACTAAACTCATCAGAGTCCTCTCCTGCATGTCTTCTATTCTGAATAACAAAACCCAAATGTGGTTTCAAACTTTTACAATGTGAGCCAAACTTATTGTGTCTTTGTGTTAAAGGAACAAGACTTTCACATAAATCGGAATTATTTCCAAGTGCATAACTTTGCTGATCTCTTTCCAAGGTTTTACTCTCGTTTTGGTTTTCTGGGTGCCAGTGCATACGATCAATCTCCCATATTTCTTCTAGGAAAAAGAACAATAAAAACATCCATGATAATTTTAAGGGGGAAAATGTAAAAAAAAAAAAAAAAAAGTGCCATGGTTTGGGCTAGCTCTTTATAAGATCCCTGTCTAAGAGAAATGTGCCCTATGTTCTATGAAAAAAGATGGTATTTTAAAACTGCAAAAGGAAGAACAGCTACTTTAAAAAGAACAATGGATAGCCTACAATGAATAAATATAACTTGGGATTCTTCTTTCCAAATAGGACCTTGCAAAATGGAGACAAAAGTAAAAACAGAACCACACTATGATTGGAATAAAACAAAAGAAGACGAAGGGGATGGATCCATTCACCCGACAAATATTGAATGTGCTGGTGTTTGGGAATATATTACAATATGATATTTAAACATCAGAATAAGGGGCGCCTGCATGGCTCAGTTGGTTAAGCGCCTGCCTTCAGCTCAGGTCATGATCCTAGGGTCCTGGGATCAAGCCCCGCATCGGGCTCTCTGCTCAGCAGGGAGCCTGCTTCCCGCCCACTCTCTCTCTGCCTGCCTCTCTGCCTACTTGTTCCAAGAAGGAACAGCCAATGCAAAAACCCAGAGGCAAAAAAACTCAGGCATGATCAAGAAATACAAGAGAGGCTGGTGTGCCTGGATTATCCTGAGCTTAAGTGAAGTGGAAATAGTTAAGTTTGAAAAGGGAGGAAGAATTGAGAACATATAGATGATGTAGTAAGACTTTGTTATAAATTAGATTTTATGCTAAGAGCAATGGCCATAAGCTACTGAACATTTTTTGGAAGGAACACAACCCACTTTGAATTGGTATTTCCCAATATATCCCAATATGGCTGTTGTATGAAGAATAAACCGGAGGGATGAAGATGTTGAGAGCATACACAGGAGGCTACCGCAGAGTTCAGGCAAGAGGTAACAGCAGCTTCAGCATGACTGACCACCATAGAGATGGAGAAATGTACAAGAACAAGGACACAGTACAGAGAAGGGAAAGACAGTGATAAGAGGAAAGATAAGCCTCACTGTAAGAATGAATGTAGAGGAAGAAAAGGGAATCATCCAGGATAGCTTCTCAGTATGTGGTTTACACATCTGGATAGCTGCTGGTGGCATTTAATAAGGTGAAGAAGATTAGGGAGAGAGGTTTGGCATTTGCGGAGAATCAAGTGCTCCATTTTGAGGGATATATCAGGTCTGAGATAATATACATATTCAAGAACAAATACGATGTTTCCAGTTAGATCTATGAGTGTGGAGAAAGTTCTAGACTTCAGATACCACTTTTTTAAGTGGGCATGGAGCTCAATGCAGGGCTTGAACTCACAGCCCTGACATCCAGAGCCACACTTAACCAACCGAGCCACCCAGGCACCCCTTCAGATAATTTTAAGTCATGAGTACATAAACAGTACTTAAATATTTGGACTACACAGAACCAGATGAGATAATATAGCAAGAATGATGAGAGAAAGAGGAAGACTCAGGAAAAGAATTTCATGGATTCCAAGTCTTAAGAGTTTTGGGAGCAGCATCTGAAAATAAATCCAGAGACATCAAACAAACACTGATCAAACATATAAACAATGTGGGTTTTCAAAACAAAGGGGTAGAATTGGAAAATCAGAATGCAGGACCTAAAGCATCTCATCCCAAGACTACTGAGGTAAAATATTCAACAACTGCCTTGTTACTAAACCTTTCCCCTTTCATTCCACCTGCACACCAAAACTAAACTTACATAAAACACCAATCACCTATTAAGAGTAATACTGTATTCAATACTTCAATAGCTTACGTAAAAATGATACAACCTCACTCAGTCCAATATATTGACACATATATGTCCACCTAGAATTTAAAAATAGGTCCTCTAGGGCACCAGAGTAGCTCAGTCAGTTAGGTATCCAACTCTTGATTTTGGCTCAGGTCATAATCTCAGGGTCGTAAGAACGAGCCCCGCAACTGGCTCCATACTCAACGTGGACGCTGCTTAAGATTCTCTCTCCCTCCCTGCCTCCTCACCCTGCTCATGCGCATGCACATTCTTTCTCTAAAAAGAAAAAAAAAGGTCCTTGGACCATCTGCCCTTGTCCCAGAGAAGAGTACAGTTGTACTGACTGGTGGAAACATGACCTTCTCCACTTAGTTTAGTCATACTATAACTGTGTACTGTGCTGTTCAATAACATTTTCTACAATCTTGGGAATGTTCTGTATCTGTGTTTTCTAATATGGTGCCCACTAGCCATGTGTGGCACTGAGCACTTGAATGTGGCTGACCAGAGTGGCAGTGTAATTTTACTTAATGTTAATTAAATTTATATAGCCATATGTGGCCAGTGGCCAACACAATGGACCTCACAGATATAGGTGATTTATATCCATATAAACCACATCTATATTTGCCATTATAATCTACTTGACATACTCATCCCCAAATTTTCTTTTTTCAACTAATGCCACATTCTTTCTCAATCTGTTCCTACATCATCTCTGTCATCCACCAATTAAGAGATTCATTCCCCATCCAGGAATAAAACATCAACCTGCCTTATCTACCATTTTTCCTAGAACTCTAAGCTGTAACATTCTATGTTTCAATGCTACTACCCAGTTACCAAGCAAGACTCGAGCAAGCTATCAAGCAAGACTATCTATAAATAGCTTTACAAAGTTAAAACAGAACCAAATTCACACTTTTTTTTTTTTTAAAGATTATTTATTTATTTATTTGACAGAGAGAGAGAGACACAGAGCAAGAGGGAACAGAATCAGGGGGAGTGGGAGAAGGAGAAGCAGGCTTCCTGCTGAGCAGGAAGCCCGATGTGGGGCTCGATCCCAGGACCCCAGGACCATGACCTGAACCAAAGGCAGCTGCTTAACGACTGAGCCACCCAGGTGCCCCAAATTCACACTTTCTAAGCCAATTATTAATATAAAATCCACAGGAATCAGCCATTTCCTTTCAATCTATTAAAAATCTCCCACATTGCCTTCCCCATTTCCATCTCCAAAATCTTTTTACTGACTCATCATTTTGATTTGAAACTCAGCTATCTTTCTTACAGAACTTTTTTTTTTAAAGATTTATTTATTTATTTATTTGACAGACAGAGATCACAAGTAGGCAGAGAGGCAGGCAGAGAGAGAGGTAGGGAAGCAGGCCTCTGGCTGAGCAGAGAGCTCGATCCCAGGACCCCGGAATCATCACCTGAGCCGAAGGCAGAGGCCCAACCCTCTGAGCCACCCAGGCACCCCTTTACAGAACTTATTTTATAATTCTTCCAAAAAGTACTTTTTTCTTTCTGTAGCATTTTACCAAAGCTCAATTTTCTCTAATTTTGCAAAAACAGTGCCTATCTATGCCTCACAATCAAATGCTAAAAATTTTAGAATTTTAGGCACCTATGTCGACCCTTTGCAATTTGGACTTTGAAACTCGGAAGGTATTTCTGTCCTTCACTAGATCCAACTTTCAGAGTGCAGTAGGGTGGCCATTCTCCAAGACAGGGATCCAAGCATAGCTGGTCTAGCAAGCATTTATTTCCAACCTCATATGCTCAGGGCACTCCCTATATCTACTAGATTAGAAACCAAATCTCCAGAAACAAAGCCTGTGGTTTGAAAAAGTTCCCATGTAGTTTACACACATCCCTGATTTAAAAACAAAATTTAAGAACAAAACAAAACAAGACCTACGTTCAAAACGTGAGGAACAGATGCAAGCAATGGTGTCAGTGAATGATTATGTAGTCTACACGCAGGAAGGAAGAGTAAGACAGAGACCTTTTCTCTATATGGAAAAAGAAGCCTCATACCCACCAGTAAAACAATACAATAAAATGTGTGATCATGACTGAGTCAGTGTGGTATAGACACAGTCCTCAGCTCAATGGACATTATATGACCTGTGCTATTCAATAAAATGTATCACTTCCTCCTCTTTGGAATAAGGTTGTCACTTGTTTCTGGGACATTTTCTGACCTTCCTCCTACCACAGCCCCAAAACTTCTCACTCTACTTCTCAGCCTCTAAATATATGTACACCTCTTATTGTTTTAACCAGTTCTCATTCATCCTGTTTTCTTATCACATTCCACTGTTTTAACGCCCCCCTGCACACCGAGGAATGCAGCCATACCATTAAAAGGGACTAACTGGACAAGTGAAAACAGCCAATGTTGTGCAACAACTGGTGCAGTCCAAGACTAAATGATTGCAGCCTCCTCCGAGGTGGGAACGTAGAGTGTGCAGTTCTCAAAAGACTTTTCAAAACAATAAAATCTAATAAACATAGCAGAGACTGTCAGAAATAATACAGAAAACTCAAGGCAACTCACAGTGACCAAGCACCTCAAGTGTACAGCAGCACAGCAGAACCTAAGTAAAATGCACTAGGAGTAAGAGGATTCACTGGGAGGAAAAATGATCTCTGGCTCCAACACTAAAGCTGAAGGAAAGAGGACTTCCCAGGATCATTATCCTGGGTGCCGGCAAAATACAGAATTAGAAGTCCGATCAGACTACAGAAGGGGAGATGTCAACCTGGGAATAACTGTCAGAGTACAGAGAGCTTAACTCTTCAAATATACTCGAATACACTCGATGGCAGTAGGAGGACTCTGTTTTGCATACAGGAAGGACATCAAAGGGCAGCTGTGCTGGTGGCTGGCAACATACAGTGGGTTACACTGCAGATTAGATGTTAGTAGAAGAGGGTAATTTGGGACTTCCCAGCAAAGAACAGAGAACTTAGGCCTTGAGAATGAATGAAACTTTTTCTTTTTTTTTTAAGATTTTATTTATTTGACAGACAGAGATCACAAGTAGGCAGAGAGGCAGGCAGAGAGAGGAGGAAGCAGGTTCTCCGCTGAGCAGAGAGCCCAATGTGGGGCTCGATCCCAGGACCTTGGGATCATGACCTGAGCCAAAAGCAGAGGTTTTAACCCACTGAGCCACCCAGGCACCCCTGAATGAAACTTTTAATGTGAAAATCAAGCAAAACATTAAAAAAAACCCCACAAAAACCCAGAGCCTGGAAGTTGGGGAAGCAGAGGCTGATTAAGTAAACAGAGGTGCCCTAAGAGACAAGGTACGCGTAGTTTTTAGATGAGCTCAGGTGAGGCGGGTTGTCGGGGAGGGATTTTAGCCCTTTCGAAAGAGGTGGGGATGGGCAGAAGATGAGAACTGTGCCACATGCAAAGCCATCTATGAAGGAGCAAGTCGGTGAGGAACAGGAGGCGGGAACGCTGCAGAAAAGGAAAGGGAGAAGACCTGCACAAGCTGGGCAGGAGGGAGCCAGGTACGAAATCTGGATCCTACAAGAGCCAAAACTGTAATGAGATCTAGAAATGAGGAAAAAAAGGAAGACCTCATCCTTTAATAGCAGGCAAAGAACAGCCCAATAAATAAGATACAGAAAGGAGTTGCTCAGATTTCTGTGTCCCCAACTGGTATAAGAAAAGTTCTCCACACACTTCCAAAGTGTTGACCTTTCACTGGCCAACTGGAGTTTTATTGTCCTTTCTCCCCATTTTCTTGGTTTTCACTCACTCACCTGGACAGCTTTGACTCCGAGCTGCTCCCTCTACCGTCCATGGTGGTTCTCCTTGCAATGACTGGAAGAGTGAATCTGGTTTGCTGGCTTGATAACCTGTAAATGGGAACTCATTAAAAATGTGGCACCACGTATTGAAGCTTGGGGAATCTGTGAAAACTGGAGAAAGTCTGTATATCATTTATACTTCAGTAAAGCAAAATTCTTCTCCTGGGGAAGGGAGAGCATATACACTCTAGCGCCAAAAAGGAAAATAAGTCTATTCCTCACAGTGTGTTAGCCCAAACCAGGAGATATTTCAGAGACACTACCGATTTTATCAAATGAGGAAGAGAAGGCAATGGACTGTGATGTTGTCCTCACCCACTGACACCAGGTTCCTATAGTTCTCCAACATCACGTCCCGGTACAGGTCCTTCTGAGATGGAGCCAGTAACTGCCACTCCTCCCAGGAGAAGCCGACAGCCACATCCTCGAATGATAACGGTACCTGTAACAACAAATGCCAACACCATCTAAGGTGGGACAGATGGCGCAGGAAAGAGGGACAAGAACACATTCTAGTCATTTTCCCATGATAAGTTATGCCTGTGAGTATTTCACATACCGCAGGACCTTGTGTCTTAGCTCATTTGGGTTCCTGTAACAAAATACCAGAGACCGTGTAGCTTATAAGAACAGAAATTTGTTTCTCACAGTTGTGGAAGCTGGGAAGTCCCAGATCAAGGAGCCAGCATGGTCACATTCTGGTGAGGGCCCACTCCCTGGTGCAAAGGCCCCACCTTTGCTTACATATCATCTTTGGGTTAAGATCCCAACATATGGATTTTGTAGGGACACAAACCTTCAGACACCACCACCACAGAATTCTATTAATTAATTCTTCTTAGCCTAAAAGAGTACTACAGTAATATTTGAAAAAAAATATTTGCAGAGACAAATCAATGTGGAGGAAGATTGTTCATTATTTATAACAGGGAAAAACTATCCATAGCTACATGTCCATCAAAAACTGATGGGAGGGCGCCTGGGCGACTCAGTTGGTTAAATGTCTGACTCTTGATTTCAGCTCAGGTCATGATCTCCGGGTTGTGAGACACAGCCCTGTGTTTAGCTCCACACTGGGCATGGAGCCTGCTCAAGATTCTCTCTCCTTTTACCTCTGTCCCTCCCCACCATCTGCTTGCATTGTACGTGTGCTCTTTCTCCCTAAAAAATAAAATGGAAAACCTTAAAAAAAAAAAGCAGTTGAGGATATACTGCAGTACCTCCATGCTGTAACATTACTACACAAACATTAAAATCAATTTGGTAAGGGGCGCCTGGCTGGCCCAGTTGGTAGAGCATGCGACTCTTGATCTTGCAATTACAAGTTCAAGGCCCATGTTATGTTTAGAGATTATGTAAAAATAAAATCTTAAAAAAAAACAATGTGGTAGATGTAAACCTATTGATGCCAATGATTTTCAAGGCACTCTCTTAAATGAAAAGTGAAAAAATGCATGTATTAAGTACCCATATTTATGCATATAAAAAAAATATATATATACTATCACATGTCAATTATACAAAGAGATTGACTGGAGACCGAAACTATTAACATCTGTTACCTCTTGGGTTCGGGGTTGAGCAGGAAGAGGAGAAAGCGGATATTCTCTTTTGGTGTAAATACTTCTTTATGTTTGAATCTTTTACATGCAAATGTAGCCATGCATCATGTTAAGTAATTAAAAATACAAATGCCAGACCAGGAATAATTGACTCTGCCTTCATTCTCTAAACCTGTGGTTAAGAATGTATTAAGAATGTATAAGAATGTATAAAGAAGCATTGCCACTATCTGTACTCTGAGCTGTTATCAAAGAGTGGAACTTTCAGCTGTCTTCTGCCAAATGACAGAATTCTTTTTTTTTTTTTAAGATTTTATTTATTTATTTATTTGACAGAGAGAGAGAGACATCATAACTAGGCAGAGAGGCAGGCAGAGAGAGAAGTGGGGGGAAGCGGGCTCCCCACTGAGCAGAGAGCCCGATGCAGGCCTCGATCCCAGGACCCTGAGATCATGACCTGAGCTGAGGCAGAGGCTTAACTCACTGAGCCACGCAGGCACCCAAATGGCAGAATTCTTCTTAATGGAGGATCACTCAAAGGTCAAGCAGCCCATTCATTCTATTAAATAACTTGGGCTTTATTCATGGGTAAAGTGTGGACTGCCAGAAGGTTCTACTGTCCAGGTGCACTGCTTTTGAAGAATGTTGTCCAATCAAGTGCAATCTTTCATTGCACTAAGGGCAATGAAATTATTTTCCCTGAAGAACTGCTTTGTTTTCTCCTCAAGGTCACTACACATCATGTAACTTTTCATGTTTTTCTTGTTATTACAGCTGCCAAAAATGAGACACAAATTCAAAGGCAAGGAAGCCCACAAGATCTTACACTTTTACCTCAGTTCCATCCTTAAGGGTTTAATATGAATCCTGTGACCCATATATCTTGCTTCCTAACTTGCCCAGATTTTAAGATGATAGCCTAAACTTATTTTCTGACAGATCCTGATTTTTATCAACATACACTGTCTCATTTTATCAGACTGTGTTTTATTTAACATTTTTTAAAAGATTTTATTTACTTGTTCCACAGAGAGAGAGTACAAGCAAGGGAAGCAGCAGGCAGAGGGAGAAGCAGGGTCCCCACTGGGGAAGGAGCTTGACGCAGGCCTGGATCCCAGGACTCCGGAATCATGACCCGAGCCAAAGGCAGACACTTAACAGACCGAGCCATCCAGGTGCCCCAGACTGTTTTAGAAGCTTCCACAAATCCACTGGGAAACATAGGACAAAAATAGGCAGAGTAAGCCTTACCCGGTCCTTGGTCATGTTCTCCTGTTCTGAAGAAAGGACTAGCCAACTGCAGAGTATACTGTCTTCTGTCTGCTCTGGGCCTGCCTGGAAGTTATGGTCAGATATCTCAGGTCAGGCTGCTGCCAGAAATGATGATCTCCCAAGACGGGGACCTCCACCTTCTTTCAATACTGAAAATATCTTATTCCTGTAGACTAGAATCTGTGGATTCAAGAGCAAATTCAACTGTAAGAGGATATGCACCTGGGACCCCAGCTTTCTCTTGCCATGTAGACTTACTCTACCAAAAGGCTCCAACATGTCCTCTTTTTCAAAGATTTTATTTATTTATTTCTCAAAGAGAGAGATCAGAAGTAGGCAGAGAGCCAAGCAGAGAGAGAAGGGGAAGCAGGCCCCCCGCTGAGCAGAGAGCCTGATGAGGGGCTATATCTCAGGACCCTCAGATCATGACCTGAGCCAAAGGCAGAGGCTTAACCCACTGAGCCACCCAGGTGGCCCTCCTCTGTCTCTTTTAACACCAGGAAAGCTTTCAGATCATGGGGCCATGCTCCATAGGAAGACATGGGATGGGTGAGAGGAATGCCCCGCCCCTTTTGGGGGGGCAAAGTTGGACTAGAATGGATGTGAAAGACATGGGAAAAAAACCCAGCTGATGATCTTGTCTGTTGCCAAGTTCTCACACAGATCAATTTTAGGAAAGATAATGGGTACAAGCGGTGGCTCAGAAACTGCCTCAAAACCACCTGTGCCCACACATTCCTAAAATTTCTGTTTATTGCACTGGAGCACTTATCCCATTTGAAGACCAAGGTAGTATAAAAATCATGAGCATCATCTTATTTAATCCTAAATACTACTCTATAACGTAACCATGATCTCCATTTTAAACATAAGTAAGCTGAGGCTTGATCAGGTGAAGTGTGTTGGCCATGTTAACTTCCTCCCTAAGTAGCAATGTGGGAATCTGAATCCCCATCTGCCTCTCTCCATTATGACATATTCCTTTTCCAACAGCCTCAATTTTTTTTCTTTCTTGTGCACTTTAATAATTTTACTCCCTGGGGCACCTGGGTGGCTCAGTCAGTTAAGTGTCTGACTCTCAATTACAGCTCAGGTCATCTCAGTGTTTTGGGATTGAGCCCAGCATCGTCGGGCTCCCTGCTCAGGGGAGAGTCTGCTTCTCTCTCTCTGCTCCTCCCTCCGCTGTGTTCTCTCTCTCTCAAATAAACAAAATCTTAAAAAAGAAAAAAAAGAACTTTACTCCCTAGCACATGATATTATGGTGTGGCCATATGGTCATAGCTGCAGAAACAGAACCCCTGGAAGTAACCCCTTGTGGTATTTTCTATGCACACCCAGCCGGCAACTTCCACACAAGCTGGAATGCAAAGGCAGAGCCATCCCTGCCTCAGCAGCAGCACGTCAGAGATCAGTCTCCCCAAGGGCCAAGCCCTGGAGCCATGCTAGAAACTCATACTCTGAGGACACCAACACCATGAAGTGAATCTTGCTTCAACCTGGAAGGCAGCAAATTATTCTCAAAGACTCTTGCTCTCCTGAATCCTCCATACCCAGAGAGCTCATCTCTGACCCATTCTCTGACCAACTGCTGAACGCAGTGAACAAGGATACCTACCACCCCCATGTCTAATCCGGACAACGCTATGTCCCATCTTGGCCCTTCAGTCTAGTCTCCCTGCAGTGCCAGCCTAAAAAGAATGATATACAACTCAAATGCAGAACTCCACAGGGGCAGGAGGGAGGTAGAAGAGGGGGTTAGACATGAATGAATTTACACCTGAGATCTCCAGGATTGGTGATCAAGGACTCAACCATTTCCCAGAAGCTGCTTGGCAGACTTTCCCTCATACTTAACAGATCAGAGCTGCATCAAATGTCCGTGCCTGCAACATAGCAATGAAACAAAAAATGGCAATGGAAATACCCTGATTGGTAGGACTAATCTGCATTTTATAGTGAACTGAGGTTAAGGTCAAGTTCCTAGGGGGCGCCTGGGTGGCTCAGTGGGTTAAAGCCTCTGCCTTCAGCTCAGGTCATGATCCCAGGGTCCTGGGATCGAATCCCACATTGGGCTCTCTGCTCAGCAGGGAGCCTGCCTCTCTGCCTACTTGTGATCTCTGTCTGTCAAATAAATAAATTCTTTAAAAAAAAAAAAAAAAGGTCAAGTTCCTAGATGGAGGGCTGTCTAAATAAAATAGGGATTTTTCTTAACAAAAGGGGCATGGATGTCAGGATGGCAGCCAACAGTAGCCAACAAAATAAATAGGTTAGAAGAGAAAAGCCTAAAGCAATATTGAAAAAGTAGCTCATAAAATTTAGTATTCCTTTTGTTACAAACCTATAATAGCCTAGGAATGGAGTGGCTACTTCCTTAGACTCATTATGGTACAATGGGAAACAGGTATTTGGCGTTTTTCCCAGGTTTCTGGCACACAGCTCCTAAAATGCTTGGAATCTCTGGAGTGACAAGAGTAGGTTTGATATGCCAATGAGATTATTGGTGGCTGGGGGTCCACGGACATCTTCAGGATAGGGACTGGTCCCCCAAAAGAGCAAGCATGATGAGAGGGTTAGAACTTCCTGCCTCACCCCCTGGAACTCTGCAAAGTGGAGAGGAGCTGGAGACTGAGTTTTAATCATCAGTCGGCTATATAATCATGCCTATATAATCAACAAAATCTCCTAAATTACACAGTTTGGAGAGCTTCTGAGTTGAACACTTTGAGGTGCCAAGAGGGTGGGGCACCCCAACTCCATACAGACAGAAGTTCCTGTGCTCAGGACCCTTCTGGACCTCACCCTATGTACCTCTTCATCTGGCTGTTCATTTGTATCTCTTATAATAAACTGGTGAGTAAAGTAACAATATATATTCTATTTCTGTGTGCATTTAAGAAGTTTATGCAAATGGTTTTATACCTGATGTATCCTTTTACAAGAGTTTTTTTTTTAAGATTTTATTTATTTGACAGACAGAGATCACAAGTAGGCAGAGAGAGAGAGAGAAGCAGGCTCCCTGCTGAGCAGAGAGCCCAATACAGGGCTCGATCCCAGGACCCTGAGATCATGACCTGAGCTGAAGGCAGAGCCCCAACCCACTGAGCCACCCAGGCGCTCCCTTTTACAAGAGGTTTATAGGATTTTATTTTGTTCTTGTTTTATCAGCAAGCTTTTTCTCCCAACACTATTGACTTCAAATGTGTGGGAGTTCGTCCCCACACCAGCCAATTTTCCCAACTCCCTGGACACCAACTGGATGTCCTAAAATTCAACTCAGTGCTCGCTTCAGCAGCACATATACTAAAATTCAACTCCGTTTTGACGCTAACTACCGGGAATTCATGCAGATCCCACAGCTTAAGGCTCAGTTTCGCAAGACCACATTTCAGATACCAGTCACAATTCCCATGTTGCCACTTGTACTTCTGAGCAGCTGGGTTTTAGGGGCACCTGGGTGGCTCAGTCAGTTGGGAATCTGACTCTTGATTTTGGCTCAGGTCATGATCTCAGGGTTGTGGGATTGAGCTCCAAGTTGGCCTCTGCACTCAGCTGGGAGTCTGCTTGAGATTCTCTCTTTTCCTTTCTATATATAATTACTATCTGTTGGTATTATTATTTTTGGTATAACTGGCAAATATTAGTTTCAGGTGTACAATATGGTATTATTAATTATAGTCACCATTCTGTACATTACATCCCTATGACTTATTTATTCTATAACTGGAAGTTTACATCTTTTGATCCCTTTCACCCATTGCACCCCCCCCAGCATCTAGCAACCGCCAATCTATTCACTTTACCTATGACCTTGTTTTTTTCATTTTGTTCCATTTTTTAAGAGTCCCTATATATAAGTAAGATCATACAGAATTTGTCTTTCTCTGATTTATTTCATGTAGCATAATGCACTCAAGGTCCATCCATGTTGCAAATGGCAAGGTTTCCTTTTTTCTTCTGGCTGGATAAAATTACTGTGTGTGTGTGTGTGTGTGTGTGTGTGTGTGTGTGTGTGTGTAAATGCCTGAGCCACCCAGGCGCCCCTCTAATATATGCATTTCTAATATGTGTCTAAATTCCCTCCACTGATTGCTTTAGTTGAATTCAACAAAAGTTGACATGTAGATTATAAAATGCAGTTCAAAACATTTCCACTATAATTTTTTTTGAATCATGGATTATATAGACATGTATGGTATGCTTACCAGAAAATGGGAGACTTTCTAGTTATCATTTTGGTATTGCTTTATAAATTTAATTCCACTGTAGTCAGAGAGAGTATTCTATATGATTTCAATCCTTTGAAATTTGTTTAGACTGGCTTTATGGCTCACCATATGCTAAATTTTTATAACTGTTTTATGTGCACTTGAGAAAACTCATTGTGGGGGGAGTGTTTTACACTGGTCATGTTTATTAATCACGTTATTCTAATTGTTCAGGGGTTGGCAGGATAGTGGGCTGGTGATCTTTTTTGTAAATAACATTTTCCTGGAACACAGCCATACTCATTTGTTTACGTATTCTCTAGGCTACTTTCATCTTACAATGGTGGAGTTGAGCAGGTGCAAGGTTATCTGGCCTGCAGAGCCTAAAATATTTTCTCTCTCATTGCTCTCTACAGAAACTTTGCCCACCACAGTTAAAACTACAGCCTTCTAGCTTTTTGTCTCCTTATTCTCTGTTACTGAGTGAGATATGCTAAGAAACTCCCATTATGACTGGGCCTTTGTTATTTCTCCTTGTATCTAGTATACCCTACACTTCAGGAATTCTACTAAGTATATATCCAACAGAACTTTCATGCATCAAAATGCAAGCACAAAAATGTTTGTATCAGCATTGTTTATAATAGATACAAGCCAGTAACAACCAAACGTCTAATCATAGCTACCATTTATTCAGACCATACTAGGTAGTGGAATGCATAAATAAATTGGGATATAATCACACCAAAGAATACCATACAGCAATGAGAAAAAACGAACTACTGCTATATCCAACAACTTAGATGAATTTCACAACAAAATACTGAGCAAAAGAAGCCAGACACCAAAGGACATATACCCTATGATTCCATTTGTATCAAGTTTTTTTTTTTTTTTAAGATTTTATTTATTTGAGAGAGAGACAGAGAGTGAGCACAAGCAGGGGGAGCAGCAGATGGAGAGGTAGAAGCAGGCTCCCCACTGTCCAGGGAGCCCAACAATGATGGGCTCAATCCCAGGTCCAAGATCATGAAATCAAGAGCTGGACGATTAACTGAATGAAGCCACCTAGGCACCCCTCCATTTGTATAAAGTTAACAGCCATTATTATGAAAAAGTTCAAGCCAAAGAAGAAGAAACAGTATAATAAAATCCTATGTACAAAGAAAGAGGAGGGGCACCTGGGTGGCTCAGACGGTTAAGCATCCAACTCCTGATTTCGCCTCAGGTCATGGTCTCAGGGTCGCGGTCTCAGGGTCAGGGTCGTTGGATTGAGCCCTGCCTCAGGGTCCTTGCTGGGTGTGGAGCCTGCTTGAGATTCTCTGTCCCTCTGCCCCTGCCCAAGTGTGCACTTTCAGGAAGGAAAGTATAATCAAACACCTCATATCCATTATGTGCCTTCAATAATTATCAACTCAAATCTAATTTTGTAAAAGGCAAAAGATTTATACGATCTGAAGAGAAACCAGAGCATCAAATCTAATTTTGTATTATCGGAGCGCCTGGGTGGCTCAGTTGGTTAAGTGCCTGCCTTCGGCTCAGGTCATGAACCTAGGGTCCTGGGATCCAGTTCTGTCTTGGGCTCCCTGATGATCAGTAGGAAACCTACTTCTCCCTCACCCACTCCCTCTGCTGGTGTTCCCTTTCTCGCTGTCTCTCTCTCTGTCAAATAAATAAAATTTAAAAATATAAATTAAAAAAAAAGTAATAATTTTGTATTATCTACACCACCACTCAGCTCCCTTCACCACTGATTATTCTGAAGAAATTCAAGACAGCTTTTTATCTCTGGATGCAAAAAATATTAAATAAAATATCAGCAAATGGAACCCCGCCACATATTAAAAGAACAAATCACTACGGACAAATATGGTTTCTTCCAGGAATATAAGACACCAGGAAATCTAGTAATCTATAAATCAAATATTAAATAAAGAGAGAGGAAAAAATATAAATTTAAGTAATTTTAAAGTTACTTGAGGGGCTGCATTGTACAGCATGGTGATTACTATAAAGATTGTTTTATATAACTGAAAGCTAAAAGAGAGGATTTTAAATGTTTTCACCATATAAAAGAAATGGTAACCATGTGACATGATGCAAGTTTCACCTAACCTATGGTAGTAATTATTTTGCAATATATAGGTGTATTACATCAACACATTGTACACCTTAAACTTCCAGAATGTTGTATGTCAATTACATCTCAATAAAGCTGGGGGGGAAATCTTTGAGAAAGAGAAACAAAAACTTGAAAAATCATAGTTACCATTTATTCAGACTATACTAGGTGCCACGCATTACACTTTGTACTTAAAGAACATTTGCTAGTTTGATCTTCATAACAACTCTATTAAGTATGATAGCTTTTTTCACAAATAAAATAACTGACTCAGATATTAACCTACCCAAGTCAGAGGCAGAAGCAGATTCTTCTTATTCCACAGTTCATACACTTGCCACCTGGCCAAAATTATTTGCAGATAACAAAAATACTCAACTAGAAAATATTAAGGAATCAATGTATAAGCTAGTGGCAGTAACATTAATAGTAGACTGAGGGGACAAAATAAGTACATCTTTCAAATTTTTGCTTTTGTGCATTATATAAAATTAGAAGAAACAAAAAAAAGAGGGGGTGGGGTCATATGGAAAATAAAACCACAAGATTTATGCTTAAAACAGTATAAACTATCTAGGAATAAACATAAACAGATATGTCTAAAACACATGTGGAAAATCACCACCACAGCTGGTCAAGGAAACAAAACATTTGTGTTAAAGGAAATCCATCACATGTTCCTGAAAGTGTTGGACCTATACCCACATCAGTTTTACTCAAAAATAAAAGTACCCACGTGATAGAACACAACTGCAATAGGTCAAAACAAAACAAAACAAAACAAAACCGAAAACTTCCAAAGCGTTAGTAATATAGAAATAGCTGACAGGATATCAGAATCAAAATGTATAAAATATACCAGTACTGGGGCGCCTGGGTGGCTCAGTGGGTTAAGCCGCTGCCTTCGGCTCAGGTCATGATCTCAGGGTCCTAGGATCGAGCCCCGCGTCGGGCTCTCTGCTCAGCAGGGAGCCTGCTTCCTCCTCTCTCTCTGCCTGCCTCTCTGCCTGCTTGTGATCTCTGTCAAATAAATAAATAAAATCTTTAAAAAAAAAATATACCAGTACCTACACAACTCATCCTAACATTAAAACTGAAATACACTAAAATTTAACAAGAGTTACTAGCCGGACTATTTGGGAGTTTGAGCACTACCTAGGAATCATTACATCGGTCGGATATAAAAATGAAAACACATTTTCTGCAAGAATATACAGTAAACATGGGCGCAAGAGGCCAGAAACCCATCTTTAAAAGTAAGGATGTGGGCGCCTGAGTGGCTCAGTGGGTTAAGCTGCTGCCTTCGGCTCAGGTCATGATCTCAGGGTCCTAGGATCGAGTCCCGCATCGGGCTCTCTGCTCAGCAGGGAGCCTGCTTCCCTCCCTCTCTCTCTTTGCCTGCCTCTCTGTCTCCTTGTGATCTCTCTGTCAAATAAATAAATAAAATCTTTTAAAAAAAATAAATAAATAAAAGTAAGGATGTGCTCAGCATCAACAACGGAACTCCCCAAACTCTGTACCCACCACGGACACGACCCCCGCTTCCCCCCACCGGACACCCCAAACCGCTACTCTCCCCAAGTTCTCGTCCCAGCACAAAAGCTCACAAGCTCCCCCTCCCCAGGGAACTACCAAGTGATCCTCCAACACAACCTGCTAGCGAGAATTCCCACTCGCTTCCCCCAACACCTACCCCCACGCGCTCCGGAACAAAAACAAAACAAAAAAAACAAAACAAATCCCAAACCCAACGCGCTCTCCCTGGCCCCGAAACACTCCCAGAACCGACACTGACCTGGCGATAACCTCGATCTTCACCGCTGGACACAGATCACCGTACCACTTCTCCAAACACTTTCCCTCCGTGCCTACCGCCCCTGAGGCCCACCTCAGCGACTGACAGACCCCCAGAAGCACCGAGACGGCGGCCGACGAGGGCCAACGCGCGTTTTTCCCGAGATCCTGAATCTGGCCCTAGGCTCGGCCTCTGTGACGTCATATTGCAGCGCCGACTCCAGGCTGTTTGCAGAGAGCGGCGGTTTCGCCACAGAGTCCCCGGAGGCGGGTGTGTTTCGCTTTGCTCCATTCTCGGAAAGGCTCTAGACGGTGAGAAGCTATTGAAAACGCTTTATTTCCAGACCACTTTTGGCCTTTGGGCCCCGAATTTGTAACATTCACCGGGGGCGGTGCATATACTGCTTAGCTCCTGAGAAACTCAGGCCTGCCCACGTCTCTCCTCAGGACCCGCCGAGATGGTCGCGGGCTTTCAGGCGCTTTCGGTTAAAGGACGGGGAGAAGCTAAGTGCGCGCGGCCCGCGTAGAAGTGCTCAGGGGAGGGAGTTCGAGCCGAGCCGGAGCAACCGTTGGAGGGGAACGGGTTAGTATCCTGGGAACGCTGGCTGGAGGGGGCTCTGTGGAGAAGGCGGCATTTGCGGCCGGGCTAGGTTTCAGAGAACCGCGGGGAAAGGCATTGGTCAGAGTGGGCAGACGGGGTTAGAAGGCTCTTGGTAGGATTCGTGTGGGTGAAAACGGGGCACAGGGTTGATGGGGGTCAACAGGCGGCAGAGCTCATAGAGAAGCCGGGCTCTCCCACCGTGGCGGGAGTCAAAGATGCGGCTTTTCTCTCTCTAACGATGAAAAATACCTTGAATCAAAAGCTCTGAGGGGTCCCTGGCTGGCTCAGTCATAGAGCGTGTGACTCTTGATCTTGGGATGACTGGGGGGGGTAGATTGCACTTAAATTTTTTAAATCTTAAAAAAAAAAAAAAAACCCTCCGAGTAAAGGAAGTGGTTCTCTTCAGTATTGCAGCCCAACTAATTAAACTGATGAGCTTCCAGTGCGGAACTCCGTCCCCACAGCTACGCAACCAGGCTTAGAGCGCCTTCTAATTAAAGGGCTTATTCATTCATCCGGATGTTTATAAGATGCCTACTATGTGGCAAACGCTGTTCTGCATGCTAGGGTTACAAAAATTGTAAATGCAGGCAAAATTACCCTTGGTGGAGCTTTACATTCTGCAGAATGCAAAATTGCAGGTTTGAATGTAAAGTTTCAAGAGTGTTAGGATTCCCGCCTACAACGTGACATACGATGCCTGGCAGCCTGACATAACCGAAGATAAGTAACCAAAGATGATTATTCTTAAGTCTTAAGATCTAATGGAATTTGCTTTACTAGGTTTTGAGTTTTCGAGGGACCCATACCCCTTTCTTCCTCCTAATTTCTCTCTTGGAACGGGAGTGTCTATGCTACACCTGTCCTACCATTGTATTTTCGAAATGAGTAACTTCTCTAATTTTACATGTTCATAGCTAGAGAGAAATTTTGCCTCAGGGTAAATTGCACCTGAAGTCTCAACCATATATGACTTAGATGAGACTTGGACTGTGTAGACTTTAGAGTTGATGCTGGAATGAGTTAAGACTTTGAGGGTTGTTGGAATGGAGTGTATTTTGTATGCAAAAAGGTCAAGAATTGGGGGGTAGGGGTGGAATATTATGGACTGAATGTTTGTGTCTCCTCAGATTCACATGTAGAACACCCTAACACCCCGCTATATTTGGAGGTGGGACTTTGGAGGAAGTAATTAAAGTTAAATGAGATCCTAAGTGTGGGGCTCTGATCCCCGTGAGTTCAGTGTCCTTATTGGAAGAGACACCAGAGAGTTCTTTCTTTGTGCAGACAAACTGCAGAAATGCCTTGCGAGGACATGGTGAGAAGGTAGCCAGATGTCTGCAAGCCAGGAAGAGTACTGACCGGAAATCAAATCTGCTGGAAACTTAATTGTGGACTTCTAGCCCCTGGAACTGTGAGAAAATGAATTTCTTTTGTTTCAAACACCCACTCTAGTATTTTTTATGACAGCCAAAGCAGTCTAGTACTGCAGTGAATTACATCGCTTAAAAATTTTGCATTCTTTTGATAAAAAGAATATATATATATTTTTTATATAAATTTATTTATTATATAAAAAGAATCTTGGGGGCGCCTGGGTGGCTCAGTGGGTTGGAGCCTCTGCCTTTGGCTCGGGTCATGATCTCAGGGTCCTGGGATCGGGCCCCACATGGGGCTGTCTGCTTGGCGGGGAGCCTGCTTCCCTTCCTCTCTCTGCCTGCTTCTTTGCCTGCTTGTGATCTCTGTCAAATAAATCAATAAAATCCTTAAAGAAAAAAAAAATCTTGGGAAACATTTTTGGAATTATGGTGGAAGGAATAAAAATTTGAATCAGGCAAATTTAACAATATGGACTGTCCATGAATTACTTCTGGCTTTAATGTTCGAGCTCAGTTAGAATGGCTCTATAGTTTGCTTGGTTGGTTGACTGAAACTGGACTAAAAAAGGTGGCCTGCACTGAAGTTTAAATGCCAGAAAATTCTTTATATTTTGTAAAGATTCCAGAAGTATATGGAGTTAGGAATGTTAATGTGTAATTATCATGTAAAGCCAGTTTACCCGTCCACTAAAAATATATCCTGTGAGCATCCAGAAGATAATTTCTTCAAAGAAGCTGATTTGGCTATAGAAAATTGGTATATAAGATTCTGGTACTATACATGAGAAGGTATAATAATTTGAAGATACACCGATAAATGAATGATGCATGCTATAAACTCTAAAGGAACCACTTAAATAATAAAGTTATACCTAAAAAGCCAACGATGGAGATAATCATAAAACATAGTTGCTCCAGGGGCACCTGGATGGTTCAGTCAGTTGAGCCTCTGACTCTCGATTTCAGCTCAAGTCATGTTTTCAGGATCCTGGGATCAAGCCCTGTGTTGGGCTCCCCACTCAGTGGGGAGTTTGTCTCACTCCCCCCACCGCCCCCGAAATAAATAAATTAAAAAAAAAAAAAGTTACTCCAAAAGAAGGTAGAAAATGACAAAAAGGGGAGCAAAACCAGCTGGGATAAATAACACCACTTTAATTATGAATGATCTAAATACCTCAGTAAAAAGAGATTATCAATTAGATAAAATAGGTCCAACTACATGCTGCCTACGAGAAACTATTTTTTAAAGATTTTATTTGACAGCACAAGCAGGGGGAGCAGCAGACAGAGGAAGAGGGAGGGGGGAAAGTAGGCTCCCCACTGAGCAAGGAGCCCAATGCGGGCCTCAGTCCCAGGACCGTGGGATCAGGACCTGAGCAGAAGACAGATGCTTAACTGACTGAGCCATGCAGGCACCGCTAGAAACTCACTTTAAATATTAGGTTAAAAGTAAACCATGTTGGGGCACCTGCCTGGCTCAGTTGGGGTTGTGAGTTCAAGCTCCACGTTGGATGTACATATTACTTTAAAAACTGTTTAAAAATTAAGCCATATTAAATAGAGATATGAAAGCTATAAAAAGATGGGCCCAATCCAAGTTTCTAGAGATAAAAACTACAACTTCTGAGATAAAACATACTTTGATGGGATTAATAGCAGATTAGATGTTGTATAAGAAAAAAATCAGTGAACTTTAAAAGATAGCAATAGAAACTTTCCAAAATGAAAAATAGGTTGGGGTGGGTGAGGAGTCTAAAACCTAGGAACGGTATTTTAACCTACTTGTGTTTGCAAAAGGAAAGGTCAGTGAATTTAATGACAAGACAAAAGAAACTCAAGTACAAATTCAACTACAAAGAGAACAGAAGCTTTTATTAAAAAGAGAAAAAATGCTTAGAGAACCTGAGCTTATACAAAAGAGAAAAACCTCGAGTTCTTGGCCAGGGGGGTAAGAGGTATCATTGTGAGGAATGCCTAGTGAAACTGCTAACTGCTCTCCACTCTCTGATCAAGATAGTGAATAAACATCAATATTCTGGGAGGGCTTATAAAATAGGATGTAAAACATATCTTATAAACCCAATACATTCTTATTAACATATTGATCATACCTCTACGTTTTTGATGTGATAGAATACAGCTATAACTATACAGTTACAATGTCCTTGTTTGCTAAGTCTAGCATATATGTCAGTTTTAGTTACTTCTCATTGGTTTCTTTCAACACTGATCATATTTTCCTGCCTGATAAGTTTTGGTTGGATGACAGACACTGTCAACTTTATCATGTGGGAGTGAGGAGAGCCAGGGAGATCAGGATATTTTTGCCCTCTGGTATTCTTAAAGCTTGTTTTGGGATACATTGAGGTTACTTGCAGTTTGGTTCTCTCTGGCCCTGTTTAATTATTGAGTTAGTTAATTTTTTCCTGGCCCTGTTTTAAATCTTAGTTAAGACCAGATTGCTTATTGAATGAGATTCAATTAATATTTCAATTTAATGTTAATTAAATATTCAATATTTATCAAGTGCCTACTCTGTATTGCGTATTCTTCTAGACATCTTGTATATAGCGGTTAACAAGTTTCCTACCCTCAGGAAGCTTAGTCTAACTTTTACAGTGTATAACTCACATTCAAGACCTTATACTTGAGCGTAAACATGTAGAGTTATTGTAATATGCTTTATATTGAAATTGATACAATATAAACATTATGTTTATATATGACCCAAAGTCTTTATATTCCATATCAAAATCTTTAAAACAATTAAGATGTTCTCTCCAAGTGATTCTAGTGGGACTTATGTCATTGATTTTAAAAAAATCATCTAGGGGCACCTGGGTGGCTCAGTGGGTTAAGCCTCTGCCTTCAGCTCAGATCATGATCTCAGGGTCCTGGGATCGAGCCCTGCATCGGGCTCTCTGCTCAGCAGGAAGACTGTTTCCCCCTCTCTCTCTGCCTGCCTCTCTGCCTACTTGTGATCTTTGTCTGTCAAATAAATAAATAAAATCTTAAAAAAAAAAATCACCTGTCTAACTGCCATTAAAATACCTCACCTACTGAGAGGCCTTTAGTTTCCCCCTGACACCATATATATATATATATATATATATATATATATATATTTTTTTTTTTAAGATTTTATTCATTTGAGAGAGAGAGCATGAGAGAGGAGAAGGTCAAAGGGAGAAGCAGACTCCCCGCGGAGCTAGGAGCCCAATGAGGGACTCGATCCCGGGACTCTGGGATCAAGACCTGAGCCAAAGGTAGTTGCTTAACCAACTGAGCCATCCAGGTGCCCTCCCTAACACCTAATCTAATGCCCTTTTTGAGATTGCAGTTTTTCAGCAGGGGACTTGGTCTGAACCTCTTCCTCTATCAGTTTTATGCCAGCCCCTATCATTACCCCTGACTACATTCAATTAATTATACATATCAGGGATGCCTGGGTGACTCAGCTGGTTGAGCGTCCAACTTTTGATCTCAGGGTCCTAAGTTCAAGCCCCATGCTGGGCTCCACACTGGGCATGGAGCCTACTTAAAAAATTACACCTACTAGATTCTGAAAATATTTTCCAGGCTGGTTCCAGGCCTCTATATTCCAGTGCAGCACTGGATTCAGCCTTCTCCAGGTCCAGTTCAAAGTCTGGCCTCTTGGAACCAGGCCAGGGTTGATTCTGTGAAGACCTGTTTTTCTCTTCATGTGGTAGGACCCAGGATTCCGAGTTGGGAGAAAATGGGAATACATGCTGGAAAGAATGTCTGGGTGGTTCCATCAGTGAGACAAAAGGTAGGGCTAGACAGGGTACTACCTCTAAGGGAAGAATGCAACTGGATAGTTATCTATGAGTTTAGAACTTCAGATCCCCAGCATTCTGAGAATAATAATTTTAATAATCCAGGAAGGAGGACAACTAGGATGGAAGTAGTCATCTTAATTTGTATTCAAATTGCTTACCTTATTTTTTCATGTTTTAAAAAAATATTACCAAGAGCTGTATTGGGATGTATTTTGTTATTTATTGTATTGGTTTAAATTACTAATTGTCGGGTGCCTGGGTGGCTCAGTGGGTTAAGCCTCTCCCTTCGGCTCAGGTCATGATCTCAGGGTCCTGGGATCGAGGCCCGCATCGGGCTCTCTGCTCAGCAGGGAGCCTGCTTCCTCCTCTCTCTCTGCCTGCCTCTCTGCCTACTTGTGATCTCTGTCAAATAAATAAATAAATAAAATCTTTAAAAAAAAAAAATTACTAATTGTCCTTGGGCTTTTAGTTCATTTTGCAAACATGGTTTTTCTACCTTTTCAAATGTAGAAAATTTTACAAATCACTTTTATGATGATGTATAATGCTTGGTCTTATTTTTAAATTCAATTTAAATTCATTCAAGGACATTAAGTTTTATTCATGAGTTTAATATATTCATTTCATTTTTGAAGGACTTCAGTTGCCTGAAATAATACTTAAACCTAGAGCCAAAGAAATGCAACAGCTAACCATCACAGGATATTGGGTGGGAACTGAATATAATTTTAGAAAAAAAAAATCCACAAATGGGAAAAGTGAATATAATGTGATAATAATGTTAACCAGTGATGTAGGGCAGAGATTTTCTCCTCTAAATTACCATTAACATGGTAATTGGGAATGTGGTTCAAGGTATCCTGTCCGAAAATGCCCATCAGGTGTATCACACAATATACAGGTCAAGTTGAAAAAGGTACATAGAGCTCTCAAACATTCCTCATTTTCACAAGCCTTCTTTGTTTCATAAGAACTCTAGTTTTTGTTAAAGATATTCCACAATTAGTGGATTAATGGTGTTTTCTCTGTGATTTTTTTTTTAAGATTTTATTTATTTATTTGACAGACAGAGATCACAAGGAGGCAGAGAGGCAGGCAGAGAGCGAGAGGAGGAAGCAGGCCCCCTGCTGAGCAGAGAGCCCGATATGGGACTTGATCCCAGGACCCTGAGATCATGACCTGAGCTGAAGGCAGAGGCTTTAACCCACTGAGCCACCCAGGCGCCCCTTCTCTGTGATTTCATCTGCTAATGGATGAAGCAGAATGTACCACTGAAAACCCTGCCACATTCCCTGCCTTCTAACATGAACTGACACATTGAGGGTAAGGACTTTTCCACTGTCATATTTCTACTCATTATAAGCTCACTGATGATCTGTGGTGATCACTGATGACAGACAGGGTCTGTCTTCCAAAAAACAGCTTTCCTAGCCTCTGTATTCATAGGTTTTCTGTTTATATATAACCATATAATCAGCTAGACATTATTGCTCAAGGCTTTTCCAAATTGAATGTACCAGTTTTTTCCTGTGTGTTTTTTGGGACATAAAATAAGATGTAATTGACCACTGAAGGCATGACGACCTTCACTGCATTCATGACTTCTTTCCCGTACAGGCTCTCCGTTATTTCCTGAGGGTGCACATCTGACAACTGGTTGTCCCACTATGACTGCATTCCTATCTGTGAGGAGCCCACTGATGTTTGATGAAGTCTGAGGGGTCATAGAAGGCATCTGCACAGTCACTGTATTAACAGGGCTTTTCTCCTGCATGAATTCACTAGTATTTAATAAGCTGTGACCCTCTGTGGAAGAATATTTAACCTTCACTGAATTTACATATTTCTCTCTTGTGTGTATTCTCTTATGTTTAACAAGGCATGGCATGTGGGAGAAAGTTCTCCCACACTCATTGCATGCATAGGGTCTCTCTCCTGTGTGAGTTCTTGGATGGACAGTGAGCATTGTCTTTGTAGTGAAGGCTTTGCCACAGTTATTGCATTTAAAGGGTTTATCTCCCGTGTGAATTCTCTGATGTTTGGTGAGCCCTGACTTCTGTGAACAAGATTTTTCACATTCGGTACATACAAAAGAGTCTTTCCTTTATGAAATCGCTGATGTGCTATGAGACATGCCTTCTGGGGAAGGCCTTATCACATCCAGTGCACACTGGGTTTCTCTCCAGTGTGAGTTTGCTGATGTATAAGGAGATTGTGCCTTTTCCACATTCACTGCTTCTATAAGATTTCTCTCCTGTGTGGGTTTTCTGATGTAGAATGAGTTGTGATTTTTCTGGAGAAACCTTTTCCACACTCATTGCATTGATGGGGCCTTTCTCCTCTTTCATTTATCTGGTGTATAATGAGGTCTGCCTTCCTGCAGAAGGCTTTGCCACGTTCAGGCCATTCATAAGGTTTCTCTCCTGTATGAGTTCTCTGATGTTCAGTTAGCTTGAACTTTCTGGAGAATGCCTTCCCACATACACTGCATCCATGTGGTTTATTTCCTGTGTGAGTCTTCTGATGTTCAGTAAGCTGAAATTTCCTGAGAAAGGTTTTCCCACACTCACAGCACTCATAGGGTTTCTCTCCTTTGTGAGTTCACTAATGTTCAGTGAGCTTGAACTTCTTGGAAAACGTTCTCCCGCATACACTACATGCATGGGGTTTCTTTTCTGTATGAATTCTCTTATGTTCTGTGAGCTGAGACTTCTTGAGGAAGGCTTTCCCACATTCAGTACATTCATGGGCTTTCTCTATTTTGTGTGTTTGATGATGTTTAATGACTTGTGACTTAGTGCTGATCGGTCTTCTACTTTTGTGGACTTTAATTTCAGTATGAGTTTGCTTGTGATTAGCACAGAGAAAGGATCTCCCATCTCCACTATACCCAGCAGGCTCTTTTATGTCATAGCTTCTACTTGGGTTGACTAAATCTAAGCGTGGCTTCAAAGTTTTTCCATGTAAATGAAACCTTTCATGATTTGGCCCTAAAGGAAAAAGACTTTTGCTCTGATAAACAATATTTCCACATATGTTCAGTTCATAACACTGTTCTGTCCTCTTTGGCACTTTTGGGTTTTATAAGTGCTGAGGCAGATGATCATCAGCTTTCTGAGTTTCTAGGAAGGAAGAGAACAGTGAACCCTTCTGTGACCATGATATGGAATAAAACTGCTCCAAAAATATGTTGGGGGGGTGCGCCTGGGTAGCACAGTTGGTTAAGTGTCCAGCTCTCGGTTTCAGCCCAGGTAGTGATCTCAGGGCTGTGAGATTAAGCCCCATGTTGGGCTCCATGCTAAGTGTGGAGTTTGCTTAAGACCCTCTCTCCCGGGGCACCTGGGTGGCTCAGTGCTTAAGCCTCTGCCTTCAGCTCAGGTCATGATCTCAGGGTCCTGGGATCGAGTCCCACATCGGGCTCTCTGCTCTGCAGGGAGCTTGCTTCCTCCTCCTCCTCTCTCTCTCTCTCTCTCTGCCTGCCTCTCTGCCCACTTGTGATCTCTGTCAAATAAATAAAATCTTTAAAAAAAAAAAAAAGACCCTCTCTCCCTGGGGTGTCTGGGTGGTTAAGAGTCTGTTGATTTTGGCTCATGTCATGATCTCAGGGTTGTGAGATCAAGCCCTTCATTGGGCTCTGTGCTGAGTGGGGAGTCAGCTTCTCTGTCCCTCTCCTCCCCTCCCCCTGTGCACACATGCTGTCTCTCTCAAATAAATTTATCTTTAAAAAAAGAAAAAGACTGTCTCTCCTTCTGCCCCTGCTCCCCTATCCTTGCTCTCTTGTGTGCTCTCTATAGTAAATAAATCTAAAAAAAAAAAAAAAATACAGTGGGATAGCTGGCTCTTTAGTGGAAAACCTATGGTATCAACCTAAAAGAAATGCCAAGTATATTTATATCTATATCTATATCTGTATATTCCTTATCTCTTTAAAAAAATTTGGGGGATGCCTGGGTGGCTCAGTTGGTCAAGCATCCAACTTTTGATTCTGGCTCAGGTCATGATCTCAGAGTTGTGAGACTGAGCTCCATGTTGGGATCCGCTCTGGACATGGAGCCTGCTTAAGATTCTATCCCTTACCCACCTCCCCTCTCTCTCCCTCTCTAAATAAATAAATAAATAGAAATAGTAAAAAAAAAAAAAAAAAGTAAGAAAAAAAAGCCAAAAAAACCTTTTAGATTTATAATTAAATACATGTAAGATAAAATTTACCATTTTAACCACTTTTAAGTGTACAGTTCTGTGTCATTAAGTATATTCACGTTGTGGTACAGCCGTCACTATTCATCTCTAGAACATTTTCATTTTCCCCAACTGAAAAACACTGTACTTGTTAAACACTAATTCCTTATCTGTTGGAAATGTTTAAAAACACAATAATATAAAACAAATCAAAAGATGACAGCTATCAGTGTAAAACAGGGTGAATTCACAATCAAGATTTGTCTGCTTTATTAGTAGGGCATTGGAGACAGTAAAATACAAGGAAGTCACTGGCAGCATCAGCTCAAAAAGCCTGAAGGGATACAGACAGACACAATTCACTCATTCAGTACATCCTTCTTCACTGGCTACTACTGTATACCAGGCATGGTGCTAGTGTTAGAGAAACACAGAAATACTCTTTATTTTCACTGAAGTCATATTCTAGGGGTGGAAAGAGAAACAGAATAAACACATAAGAGGGGCG